CTTTTTTTTAATGGAAAATGTATCTATTCTAAAACCTTTGCTCGTCTTTTTTTAACCTCGAAACATAAATTCAACTTGTAATTATTTATTTATTTTTCTATTTTAAAATGGAAATCAAACGATCACAGATTTTTCAATTTTAATATCAGTTTCTGATCAATAAATCAAGCGACCAACAGATACAGGAACCATTGTGCCTTCATTCAGATTTAACATTAATATAATTAATTAATTATAACTAATTAATATATATATACGCGACTTACACTTATTTAGCTTGAGAGAATTATTTCATAAACGTTGATGAAAAAATTACGTGTTGATCGACTGAAAATTAAATAAAGGACTTTTTGTCTTGTCAGCTATTTCAGTGTTTCTTCAAATATGAGGATTTTATATATTTTAGATTTTTGTTTTCCACCACTATCAGTTTAACTTGATGTGTTTTAGACTCTTTCACAATAAGCAGTTAAATCTTCATCTTCGGCTCTGTCAAATTACACGTGGACCCACTAAGCCCAATTTTCTGAACTTTTATAACCCACACATAATTAAAAAGCATTATCTAATAATTACACAGAATTACACAATTACATTAAATTCAGAGTATACAGAATAAGGATTTTGATTTAGCACATACATAAAATATATATTATTTGTATTGGCCTATAGGCTATTGCAACATTTCTATATATATTTTTTAAACGATGGATGAAGTAAAAAAATATATTTACCAACTCTAGTTTTTTGTATTGTTTTATTTTAGCTTTAGCTTTTAGGAAACGCATTTTTTAGAGATCTATGATTGACACTTGTTCGTGTTGGGGAGAGGAGGAACAACAGATTAGGCGGGATTTTTAAAGAGAAGGCCCGCCACTTTTAAAACGTTCTAATCTGTCAAGCCGTTTCAACATTTTATCGTCCGCTCCTCCGAGGCCTCTACGGGACAATTGAAGGAACATTTCGGTGGGTTTAACCTCCTTAACTCGGCCGTAAACACAGATGATTCAATAATAGTCCAGAGGAGCAGTTTTAGTGAAGTCTGGACGGTTGTTCCTGAAACCAGAACTTGAGTTTTCTCTGGACCTTTGTGTCGGATTGGGAAACTTCTGGAAGACCTATCTCCTCTTTCTGAAGCTGGAAGTTACTGCTGTATCTACCAAGGTAAGATATTCTTTATTTTGCTGATAAATGTTTAAGTAGGCTAATATCACAAGAGAGAGAGATGAAGGCCGCAGGCAGAGCGCCGGAGATAATGCTAACAGTGCTAATAGAACAAATCTCCTCCTCCAGTCTGATATTACTTTAATAAAACAGTTTTACAAGCACAAAATAATAATACAAGTCAACTTTTTAAACTCCAACATCTCAACTAGTTTCACAATTTAACGGAAACTAGCCTGTTGCTAAGCAACCGGAACGTTCTAATGTACCGTTGGTGTCCATGGTAACCATGGTAACCACAGAGCAGCTGCTCTGCTGTATGAACCTTTACTGACTGTGATCATGAAACCAGTGACGTCAGAGTCTGTCAGCTGTAAATGTTGAAGTATTCAGAAGTCCTGCATGCTGAGGAGGAGGGATACATGTTGTGAAAAGTCTCAGTGATGTTGTTCTACTTTATCATCACTTATGGACTACCTCTTGTCCAATCAGATTGCTTGATCAGAACTGTTGTATAAATCGTGTTAATGTTGTGAATTTGGCTTTATCTCGATTGTGGGTTTTTTTTATGACCTCTGCAAGCAAAATCGTAAATGAAATTGAAGCTCCATTAATCTCCAGCCTAAGATCAGACATTGTTCAAATGTTTTTATAACCAAAATAAATTGGTTGTGTTAGAACAGGTGTGTCACAGTTTAAATGTGTTCCTGTGATGTGTTTATTTTAGTTTAAGTTGGCTTTTTTATTTGTGTTTATTTCAGTTTGCCTTCATACTGTTTTCTTTATGAATTTTTACTCTTGTGTAACAATTACTGAGACAAGTTCTGCTGACTTTCCTCTCTGCATCTTCAACTTGAAAATAAGAGAGTGAAGGGTTTTTAGTGAGGGGCTGATATTAAACACATCACTGTGTTTCTGGCAGCACAGAAATACACAGCTGAGTCTGATGGAGTCACACTGGGAATATCAGAGCTCCTGTTGTAACGTCTTTTTTTTCATCTTAAACCGATCCTTGAACTTCTCCTCATAGTCGGGTTCACTGCTAGTGTAGCCGTATCCGATTAAATCCATCAGGCCGCTTTGTGTTTGCTGGTACCAGAGCATCACATTAAGATTTTCATCATTGTGACTGCAGTTAAATTCTACCCGGGCCTTTTCAACGACTACTTTTGGATGCGATGGTTGAAACGTCACACTCGTTGCTCGATCTGTTGAGAAAACACAGTTTAAAAAGTACTTTAGACAAAAAAGACATGCAGAAATAACAGATGTATTTTCTGTTAATAACTTAAAGAAATAATTAAATTTGCTTTTTAAGTTGATATGATTACATGGAAGCAGGATGAGTAGAAATCCAATCACAGCTGGAGACATCCTTGATGCTGTCTAATCTGTAAATGCCTCATCAGCAGAGAATGGAGGGGGGTGTTTTTAGTGAGGGAGTGGCATTGAACCACATCACTGTGTTACTGGCAGCACAGAAATACACAGCTGAGTGTGACGGTTGTGCTTTGCTTATGATCAGAGCTCCTTTCTCTGGGCCGTCTCTTGTCAGCTTGAATTGTTCTTCAAACTGACCCTCATAAGTGGGGGAGCTTTCATATCCGTAGCCAATGAGGGTCAGAGACGTGCCGCCCTTCTCTGTTGATACCAGAGCATGTTAACAAGAGAAGTGTCATTATGGCTGCATTTGATCTCGACCGCTATGTCCTTCTGCACTATCTGTGGATCAAACTTCACAAATGTCACAGCGCACGCCTGACCTGTGGAGGAAGCAGATTTAGATTAAACAGAGACAATACACCATCTCTATAACTCAACGTGTGTGTGAGTGTTATAAACATGTTGAATAGTTTAATGTGACTGAGTAGAGAGCTTACATAAAAACAAAGTGAAGAGAAAACCAACTGTGTTCATAAGTGAAGACATTGTTGAGCACTAATGTGGGGAAAGCTGTGATAAGAGTGTCAGTGTAAAGAGGGAGGGGTCTGTGCGGTTTGATTCATAAAAGATTCATCCATGTGCTGTGCCTCCACCTGTTGGCTGAATTTATTCAGGACAGGAATCTCTACGGCTGCTGTAAATCACTGAGGTTCTTCTTAAGCACAGTATTTTTAATCTTTCTTCTTTCTCCCTCCATAAAACAAATATTCTGTTTTTTAAACCTGGGGCCATTTTTTAAAACATATTTTGATGTGTACAAACAAATGTGCTTGTTAGAAATTACTCCAGCAGATTATTTCAGTTTGCAGATACAAAACAGGCTGAAGGGGCTGCACCACGTAATCCTTGCAAACTGACCTAATCAGTTACTCTCTCTAAAAATGCTTTTAGGGACACTCACACACCACAACTGTGATTTAGTGTCTGACAAGATTTCATAAAGTTCCCTGGGGAGGAAGACCCCTTTGTGCTATTTATACCTTTATTTTAGAGATGGGTCAGAGGATAGAGAGAGAGAGTGGGGAACGACCTGCGGTAAAGCAGCCACAGGTCGGATTCAACCCCGGGACATCCGCTCTGGAGGGCTTAAGCCTCTGTACATGGGGCGCGCGCTTCAACCACTGGGCTACCAGCGCCTCAGAGGTACCCCCTTTCACAGAGTCCAAAACAAAGGGCAAGGTTTACAATCCACTCACACGGATTTGTAATCTGTCTGCACAATTTTACAATCTGTTTATGCAAATGCATTTCCACGTGCACCCATTGGTTAACTGTGGGAACGGATTTGTAACTGTCTTTTTGTTTTTTCATACCTCAGCCTTCGGGGGCACAGCTCCTACTTATGAAAGAGGAAGAATGTTTTTGGGAAACTGGAAACCGCTGTTTTATGACTGCGTTTAAATTCACCAGACTCCTTTTTAAAAACACATTTACACTGGAGAGGCTAGGCTGCTGTTTTGTTGATCAGTGAGTTTTCCTTTTTAAACAAACATTTGGTAGGATGGGGTGCTGGTGGCACAGTGGTTAGTGCGCGCACCCCATGTATGGAGGCTATCGTCTCAGGTTCACATCCCACCTGTGGCTTCTTTCCTGCATGTCGTTCCCCACTCTCTCTCTCTCCTTGATTTCCGACTCTATCCACTGTCCTATCTCTCCATTAAAGGCATAAAAAGGCCAAAAATAAATCTTGTAAAAAAAATACATTTGGTATGATCCAAAATGACCCTCGGAGAACGCCGACATCAAACAACGATGCAAAAATACAAACGTCCAAGGCAGCAGTGGACCCTCATGTGCCATGAGGTAAAACCAAGGTTTTCTTGAGCTGACTCTGGTGTCTTAAAGAAAGTCTAGAGTGTAACGTCTTTAACTATAGTCTCTCTGTGTATAGATCGTCTCTGTAACGTTGTCAGACTGTATCTGTACCCCAGCAGAATGTATGGATGTGGACAAATGTGCGTGAAAGTGTGTTTTTAGAATCTCGTATCTGTATTTTATTTCTTGCACTTTATAAAGTTTTCTTTGCACAGACTGAATTTTATTATACTCGTACAATGACAAATAAAGCTATTCTATTCTATTTAATCAGAGAACTCTTTATATCTATAAGGAAAGTTTATTTCTATAGCACATTTCAACAACAAGGCAATTCAAAGTGCTTCACACAAGACATCAAAAGCATCATGATAGAGGAAAGAAAAGAAACATTAAAATAGAAAATTTAAAAAAATCACTGAAATTATTAAATCTGAACATATGTTCAAATAAAAATAATTCAAATGAAATTAATTGAAATAAATAAAGTGAAAATCTAAAAAGAGAGTTTAAAAAGATTAAAATCTTATTAAAATTGTTTAATGAAGAAATGTAGAAACAAGGCCCGGCCTCCCAGGTTGATGAATTAGAATAACCTTTAATTTAAAGATCAAAATATGTAATCTAAGTCTCAGGTATTATCCTCCTCCATGTGTTTTCCTTCATTTGATTACTCTCAGTGTGAGTCAAGTGTCAGAACAACAAAGAGCTTCCCTGCAGTATGTTCTTGTCACAGGTCTGAGGTGTGCCACAGCACCGTGTAGACTAGCAGCACACAGATAAACCGCCTCGTCTTTCCTCTGAACGCTCTCTATCGACAGAGACCACTGCTTCTCCTCCTTCTTCTGTCTCACCGCCTGGTAACCAGATTTGAAATCCTCTTCAAAGGTTGCAGAGCCAGCTGATACCATCACCATTAACTGGAAACTTTGTCCTCTTAGCTGTCGATACCAGTACAGATATGGATAATCTGTCTCATTCTGGTAACAGTGCATCTCAGCTGAGCCGTTGGGATGTCTTGAGATGATTTGGGGCCACTGAGTGATCAGCACAGACTGAGAAACATCTGAAACACACAAAACACAAGAGAACAGATCATTCTCCTCAGGTGAAAGCATTAATTCTCTTCAAAGCTTTTTATTTAACTCCAGATGATGTTCCTGTTTTAGTCTTTATAGACGTTTACCTGCAGCCCAGAGCAGAAAGAAAGTCCAGGTGATGATGCCGGGGTTCATCCTCATTCAGGAAGAGTCAAAGAGTGAACATTCAGTGAGCTAACTCTTGTTAGATACGCGGGGAGGAAATGACATCAGAGTTTCTCCTGTGTCCAATAGGCTCTCATAAAAACAACACATTTCACCTGGGGGGGCGGGGCCTTTCGTTTGAGTCACACCTTGTTGTGAAATCTCACAAAATCATAACCGAAAAAAGTGTTTATACGTGCACGCCTGCACGATGTAAGAACATTTTTTGTAAATAAACATGTGCGATATTTTTCAAAACAAAGAGTGCATATGAGCTATAACTCACAGTCACCTGTGTTTGCAACATCTCATTTCTAAACCCTAAATAAATCCCAAACACTGCTTTTTACTACTCTTAATGGTTACTGATTAATCTGAGAGTAGTTGATAGTTAGCTTAGCTTCATGTTTTGACAGCATGGACGTTCTACCCAAGCTTCTGTACATCTGGTAACAAACTGAGACTTTTGATTGTTGAAAAACAAAGTCCCATTTCCTCTTTATTCCACGGTGTAGGTTTGAAGCAGCAGGTGTGTGTTTGACACAGTGAGCTGCTGTGTTTTTGTAAAAGGAGTCAGAGGAGATGAAGCACCGTGCTGACTGGCTGCACAGAAATACTCTGCACTGTCTGCCGGGTTTATCTGAGAGATAACCAGCTCAGCCTCGCCCTTTGAATGACCTGTGATATTAAAACGTGCCTCAAAGTTCTTCTCCATGTTTGCCTTTTCATAATGAAGCAGTCCGATCAGCTCCATGGCCCTGTGGCCTCCTCCAGCTGCTGACTTGTGCTGGTACCAGAGCATGTAGGGATAGGCGTTGTCTCCATGGTTACAGGAAAGTCGGGTTTCCTCTTGTTCAGGTTTTATCAGCTGGTTTACGGGCGTTTGTTTGATCGTGAGGGAGAACACAAAGTCTAGAGGACAGAAGGAAAGTAGAGATGATGAACATGAAGGTTTGATGGTGTGATGAGAAGAACGACAGATGGTGTGAGTCTCTTACCTGAGAGCAGAGAGAGAGAGAGAAACAAAATGAGAGACATTTCACACAGAGAGGAGCAAAGACATAAATGAAAACTCAGTGATGGGAGATCTCCCTTTATCGTACATGATGAAGGAGGAGGAGCTCACAGCTGTCTTCATGTCAGCGTGCTGTCACTGCTCTCTGCTGTTCAGTTTTACATTTAATCATAAAACACAGAGCAAATAAACGACTCACCTTCACTGAGAAATAACTTCTATCCTTGTTACTTTATCCACAGAGACAAACGCTGTATCACTTTTCACTGATCATGTTGTGTCTCATGTAGATCTTGTGCAACATCTGGTTTGCTTTTTATGTTTTTGTATCTGACCAACAAACTGATATTAAATGCTGAGAGATATTCTTATGGCACTGAAGTTTATCTAAAGCTTTTTTTATGCTGGAAATGCTGTCTCAGTCTAACTTTCAGTCAACCTAACGACAGGCTGAGAGCTGGAGCTGAGGCGGGTTTTAAACCTCCTGACAAACCGTTACACCGCGCCCACCTGTCAATCAGGTCAGCTACACGCCTTATTGTGAATAACTCTTATCCTTCATCAAATCAAAACTGATGAGTCATCAAAACATTCACCCCCCCCCCCCCCCGTACAGTGTGTGTCCATCGAGACATGAGCTAATCACACCTATTTGTGATTTTTTTTTTTAGGTTGTTGTTAAAGCTGAAATCAGAAGCCCCGTCCCTTCTTGATTTTGATTGGTCGGTTATAGGGAGAAGTGACATTCTTTCACAGAGAGCGCTCAGGAGGGTGAGCAATAAAAACGCTGAACTACATTGTTTTTTATTTTTTTTATTTAAACAGCCCAACCAGTGGAAAAAGAATATTCTGTGGACACAGGCCCTTATGGTGCTTCCTAATATCAAAGATCCTTAATGGTGTACTAATCAAACCCTGGTCCCCGATCCCCTCCCCTTATCTCTAACTGATGATGTGACTGCATCAAACCAGAATCCAACCACTAAAGCAGGTGTCTCCGAGCAGTTCAATCCACGTCTTATTTAAAAACCTCGGATGAGAAAAACCCACCGAGGGTTTTTGTAAAGTTCCCGGGGTCTTTTCATCAGCGTGCTTCTCTCGCTGCACAGTAATAAACTGCACTGTGCTCTGCTTTCACTCTTTTGAAAACCAGAGAGCCGTTCTTTTCTGTGTTTCCTCCCAAATCTCCAGTCATAGTAAAATCTGCTTCATATGTGGCTTCCATGGTGACTGCTTTAACGTTCAAATACCCGATGAGTTTCATAGCTGTGTCTCCAGGTGAGCGCTGGTACCAGAGCATCACCCGGTAGTCCGTTTTTTTATGGCTGCAGAAAATCTGCACTTTGTCTCCAGGTTGTGTCAGAACATCAGAGGGAGACTGAAGGACCTCCAGAGCCAGACCGCCTGAGCACAATAAAACAGAAACACATATTAAATTAGAGCTGGAGAATTAGAAGAAAACTTCAAAAGATTCAAACGTTGTCCAGTTATTACCTGAAAGGCAGCAGAGAACTAAAAGGCAGATCATCTTGTCAAATATAAAATAAGTTTGAGAAATCTGACTTATTGTCTCTACTCCTGATGAAGATCGGCAGCTCTACTGATGTGACTGAAGTTTAAAGAGGAAGGGGAGGTGATCAGGAAACACTCTCACTGTACGCTAGAAGTCAAAGGTTAAAACTGTCAGAGAAAGCAGCCTGCAGGGAGGAGTTCTCCCTCTGAGTAGAGAATCATGTTTGGTATTCATGTGTGCATTAACATACAGAATCTATTTACTTTAATACATAACAAACAACGTGACAGATAAAAACAACCTTTGTCTTTAAAGTCTGCTCCCACACAGAAAAGGTGATTCATTCAGTTGAAATGACTGTATCCCTCCCTCTAAGAAAGTAGTCCCTTAGAATCTGCAGCTAGATCTTCCTCTACAGCAGCAGTCAAATCTGCAGCTAGTAAAAAATATGCTTCTAACAAAACAAGTTTAAAACTAAAACAAAGCTCGGGAAGATAAATAATACTGCTGCTTCATAAACAGTGTTTTTAGTCTATTGAGGCCAAACAGGGGCAAACACCTTTGGGACCTGAAAATCACTTTATTTGTCTTTTCATCTTTTCCCTCATTAAATGCGTCTTCAATCTTATATCCATTAGATTTAAAACATGCTGCACCTTTTATTGTTTTGTTGTTTTGGGGCTTTTTGTGCCTTTAGAGACAGGACAGCAGATGGAGTCAGATATCAGGGACAGAGAGAGAAGGGAATGACATGTGGAGAAGGAGCCACAGGTCGGACTTGAACCTGAGCCGCCCGCTTTGAGGGCCACTGCCTCTGTACATGGGCCACACGCCCTAACCAATCAGCTACTTGTGTTTTTCTTTTGTTCTGATAAATGTATCCAAGCATCACTGTTAACAGGATGTGACAGATAACCTGGAGCAGCTGTCTGTGTGTGGTCTCTTTCTTTTCTAATATCAAACCATCAGAGTTGGTTTAGAGTTTTTGTATCAATGAGAGGGGATTAGCAGTCAGTGTGCATAGCTAGCTGCACAGTAATACACTGCGTTGTGATCTGGTGCCTTCAGGTCGGCTATAACCAGAGAACCGTTCTTTACTTTCTCTCCAATCATATCTCCCTTGATGTTAAAATGCTTCTTGAAGGGCTCCTCTGGCTCGATGGTGCTGTAAGACACATGTCCGATGCGTTTCAGAGTGTTGTCTCCAGGAGTTTTCTGGTACCACTGCATGACTGTGAAGTCGGTCTTGTTATGTGTGCAGACCAGCTGGACTGTTCCTCCGGGTCGACTGAGAAGAGCCGGAGGAGTTTGTTTGACTTCTACACAAAGACAAACACCTGGAAATACAAAAAAGAATGAATCAACTGTGTAGAGACCGAAGGATGAGGTGTAACTGCTGAATAGTGAAAGAGATTACCAACGAGCCATGATAACAATAATAATGTTGACATGTTGTCTGAGTGAACACAGAGCGCTGAGTGGCTCTAAAACTTCACCCTCTGGATTCTGATTACCTGCCTCCTCTCTCCTCTCTAAACCAGAAACAATAACTGTCTGCTTGTATTTCCTGGTGCTACAGCTCCACCTACTGGAGAGAAAAATTAAACCATTACAAAAACTTGAAGGTCCAGTCAGTGAGATGTGTAGAGAGTGAGATGATAAAGGTATCTTACTCTCTGATCATTAAGGAAACATGCTATGTTGAAGTGCTGGCTTCTCTGACAACAATGCAGCAGCCAGTATGTCCTCCTTCTAACTTTAGATTCTGCTCCTGAATGCTCTGGATTTGTTTGGACCAGAGAAGGTAGGCGCTTTTAAGACACGCCCCCACACGGACGGAGATACTGCAGTATTTGTGGAGCTTGCTGTTACCATGGCAACTACAAATATCATTGATATAAAGGTTAATATTGTCATTATAGTGTTTTACAGCGGACTTTGTTGCTTCATCCCACACTTCTGTTTTGTTCTTTTAATGTCACATTTGGGTGCTCTTTATGCTCGCTTTGGAGACGTCCCAACAGTAGAGCATGAAGTGACTCTTCTCTTCTCCTTCTTCTTCTCCTTCTTCTCTTTCCTCCTTTTCCAACTTTCTCCTAATTCTCCCTGCTTCGTTCCCTCCTTTCCTTTCCTTTCCTTTCCTTTCCTTCCTTCCTTCTATCCTCGTGTCCCCTCCTGCTCCCTCAGTTTGACCCTCGGAGTCGTGACCATCGATAAGTTGGACCCATCCACTGTTGAAGCGTTGGTGGGTCAGCTGCACCCGGCACTCACAGAGGAACAAAAGGTTCGGCCGACTCGGATAAAGCTGACGACGTTGTTGTTGTTGTTGTTTTGAAAGACTCTGGAGGTGAAGCCGTTTGGAGGACTGCATTCTTAAAAAAAACAAAAACACTTTGAACTCTGAACTACTGCGATCGCCAAAAAGACTGGAGACCCCGGACATCTGACCCGTTTGTGCAGAATCAGGATTCATAAAGGAATGACAAAGGGACCGATGACTGTAGATGAATCTGTGAAGCAGGAGTCTGTTTGTACACTGAATATAAAAACATAGAACCTGACCTGCTGTCAACACCAGCTGACTGTGATGAAACCTCCGAGACGTCCTGAACATAACTTATTAACCTGCTGACCCTGTTCTCTGTTCTCAAGAGAATCATCTCTCCCTCTCTCTCTCTCTCTCTCTCTCTCTCTCTCTCTCTCTCTCTCTCTCTCTCTCTCTCTCTCTCTCTGTCTCTCCCTCTCTGTCTCTCTCCCTCTCTCGCTTTTTTTTAAACGACTCTCTGACATTTCACTGATGAAGTGTTGGGTTTCATCTCTGGGCTGTTTTTTTATTTTTTTTATTGTAATTATTTGATAATAAAAAAACAATATTTTGATAAATAAATAAAAAGCTGCTGTGTTTTGTGTGAATCCTGTTTGACTTGACGTTCCAGTCTGCACCACAGGGGGGCGCCAGAGTGTGACTGTCTCAGGGTTAAATATATATCCTGTGTTTATTTATTGACTCATTAGTTTATCACTGTTGTCCTTAAACTGAGCTTTTTATCTGTCCCGTGTGGGTGTCATTACCCAAAGAGACCACACGAGGGGGTCAGCGTGCCAGCTCTGTGTGTTTGTTATTTCTGATGTTCTTCATCTGATGTTTGTTTGTAAATGTATTCATGGTCGGGGTGGACTGTGGAACCTAATTCCCCTGTAAGTCTAAATATTCATTCTGGAGTTAATTAAACATTTTATAGTCCTGACATAGTGGATGAAGGATTCCTGTAGCTCCTTCCTGCATTCCTGTATCATTTAAACTACTGAGCTAACGGCTCGTCTTAAAGCTGCCTGTCCCAAAGAAAAGAAGAGTCATTTCATAGACTGAAGTCAGGAAAGCCCGGGCCCACACACACACACACACACACACACACACACACACACACACACACACACACACACACACACACACACACACACACACACACACACACACACACACCCTCATGTCAGAATGAGAACATGAGCTGCAGATCTTTGCACCAGATCAGAGAGAATTCTTCTGTAGCTTCAGTTGACATGGAAATGGAAGTTTTGCAGCTGTGTGTGTGTGTGTGTGTGTGTGTGTGTGTGTGTGTGTGTGTGTGTGTGTGTGTGTGTGTGTGTGTGTGTGTGTGTGTGTGTGTGTGTGTGTGTGTGTGTGTGTGTGTGTGTGTAGCTGCAGGTGTGTGTGGTGAGCACACAGAGAGATGTGCTCTCTGCTCTGTGACCACATCCTCTCCTCTCTGCTCGTCTGCAGCTTTCACGTCTCTGACACAGCTCACACTTCCTGTTGTTGTGTGCTACGCTCACACACACACACACACACACACACACACACACACACACACACACACACACACACACACACACACGTGTACTTCTTACTGAACCAGTTTGAACCAATGGAAATACTTTTTTTTTTAACTCTTCATCAGAATGCAAACTGTCATAAGATTCTTATTTTGTTTGGTCAAAGTTTAAAAATAGAAAAACATCTGAATACTGTGCACCAGATGTTGGAATAAAGACGAGGATGTAAGGTCCAGGTCCAGGTCCAGGTCCAGGTCCAGGTCCAGGTCTAGGCTAAGGTTCAGGTTCAGGTGACTTTATCTGTACTCGTAGATAGATTTGTTAACAGCAAGCAAACTTGACATCCATCATGACACACAGATTAACAAATTGATGTAACAAGGAACAAGACACAAGAGGAGGAGAAATATTTAAAACCAAAACAGAAATTGAAAAGTGCTCGATGTTCCACCTATCAGGACATAAAGGAGAGAGAAATCTCAACTAATGGGGTCGAGAAAAAAACACAAATGAATTAATAATCTCATTAAGAACACATCAAAACATTAAAGACATGAAAAAGACACCGAGGCAGGGACGCCAAGCTCTCCCTCACTGCAGGTCACTGCAGGTCACATGACTCAGTTAGCTGAATGGAAAATGATACAAATAAATCAGCTCCTGAAGTTTCCTGAGCTGACGTGTTTCAGCATCATGTGGGAGAGAAATAACAGATTTCTGAGAAAAGAGGGAGATAAAGCGAGCAGCTAAAAATACCTCCCACTGTGGAAACAAAGATGCTCGGCGTGGGAGGAGGTGTGAGAGCGAGGACAAGAAGACTGAGAAAGTACGACTTATCTGTCCACTTGTTCTGGTTTAGAGCCTGCTGAGTTATAGATCATGTTTGATTAATGTTAATTTTTAGGCCGAGAGGTAGAGTCAGTATCTTTAAAAAAGTGTCTTTAGTTTGTTACTTCTGGTCAACAGTAGAGCGGCCTGGGAGACGTAGGAGGACATGTCTCTGATCATTTGTGTCTCTGTGTGTGAAGAGGCTGTGAGGAGAGACAGTTTCTCTGTTTGAATAACTTCTGTTAGATGGAAGAATTTGAGTCTGTAGGAGTTTTTCTGTGCGTGTGTCCGACCTGAATAAACTTTAATTTCTGCATCCTGTTTGTGGATCAACTTTAACACTGCAGAGATCCAGAAGAGCAACAGCTCGAGAGAGACGGGAAATGTTGGAGCCAGCTGGGTATAAATCACATAAAACCTTCATTCTCTTTATTTGTTTTGTTTTGAATCTCAATTTCTATTTTATCTTTCATAAAAAAACACTTGTTAAAAACAAAAATGTTCTCTCCATTTTAAACTTCTTATTTTTATTGCTCCAAGGCCACCGTACATCCCCCTCTCTGAGAAAAACTCAATCAACTTTTATAAATTATCAAAGTTTCAAGAAAATCTCATAAAGTCACTCACGTGATGTACGATGTGTCCTTGGGCAAGCGATTGACCCCATGTTGCTCCCACTGCTTTATCATCAGTGTGTGAATGTGTATGAATGGATGAGTTAATACTGATGGACTCTCAGCAGCCTCTACCATCAGTGTGTGAATGTGTGTGAATGGATGAGTTAATACTGATGGACTCTTTACTCAGCGGCCTCTACCATCAGTGTGTGAATGTGTATGAATGGATGAGTTAATACTGATGGACTCTTTACTCAGCGGCCTCTACCATCAGCGTGTGAATGTGTATGAATGGATGAGTTAATACTGATGGACTCTTTACTCAGCGGCCTCTACCATCAGCGTGTGAATGTGTATGAATGGATGAGTTAATACTGATGGACTCTCAGCAGCCTCTACCATCAGTGTGTTAATGTGTGTGAATGGATGAGTTAATACTGATGGACTCTCAGCAGCCTCTACCATCAGTGTGTGAATGTGTGTGAATGGATGAGTTAATACTGATGGACTCTTTACTCAGCGGCCTCTACCATCAGCGTGTGAATGTGTATGAATGGATGAGTTAATACTGATGAACTCTTTACTCAGCGGCCTCTACCATCAGCGTGTGAATGTGTATGAATGGATGAGTTAATACTGATGGACTCTTTACTCAGCGGCCTCTACCATCAGCGTGTGAATGTGTATGAATGGATGAGTTAATACTGATGGACTCTCAGCGGCCTCTACCATCAGTGTGTTAATGTGTGTGAATGGATGAGTTAATACTGATGGACTCTCAGCAGCCTCTACCATCAGTGTGTGAATGTGTATGAATGGATGAGTTAATACTGATGGACTCTCAGCAGCCTCTACCATCAGAGTGTGAATGTGTGTGAATGGATGAGTTAATACTGATGGACTCTCAGCAGCCTCTACCATCAGAGTGTGAATGTGTATGAATGGATGAGTTAATACTGATGGACTCTTTACTCAGCAGCCTCTACCATCAGTGTGTGAATGTGTGTGAATGGATGAGTTAATACTGATGGACTCTTTACTCAGCAGCCTCTACCATCAGTGTGTGAATGTGTATGAATGGATGAGTTAATACTGATGGACTCTTTACTCAGCAGCCTCTACCATCAGTGTGTGAATGTGTATGAATGGATGAGTTAATACTGATGGACTCTTTACTCAGCAGCCTCTACCATCAGTATGTGAATGTGTGTGAATGGATGAGTTAATACTGATGGACTCTTTACTCAGCAGCCTCTACCATCAGTGTGTGGATGTGTATGAATGGATGAGTTAATACTGATGGACTCTTTACTCAGCAGCCTCTACCATCAGTGTGTGAATGTGTGTGAATGGATGAGTTAATACTGATGGACTCTTTACTCAGCAGCCTCTACCATCAGTGTGTGAATGTGTATGAATGGATGAGTTAATACTGATGGACTCTTTACTCAGCAGCCTCTACCATCAGTGTGTGAATGTGTATGAATGGATGAGTTAATACTGATGGACTCTTTACTCAGCAGCCTTACCATCAGTATGTGAATGTGTGTGAATGGATGAGTTAATACTGATGGACTCTTTACTCAGCAGCCTCTACCATCAGTGTGTGGATGTGTATGAATGGATGAGTTAATACTGATGGACTCTTTACTCAGCAGCCTCTACCATCAGTGTGTGAATGTGTATGAATGGATGAGTTAATACTGATGGACTCTTTACTCAGCAGCCTCTACCATCAGTGTGTGAATGTGTAGGTGTGACCTGCAGTGTAAAAGAGCTTTGAGGAGTCAGAAGACGAAAAAAGAAATAAAGAAGCTCGATTATAAACCTTTGTATTTAAATAATGAATCTTAATCTTGATTTTTTTTAAACATTTCATCGAGACAAAAGAAGCAAGCAGTCAAAGAATTGAAGTAAAGTCTGATAAGTCTTTATTAAGATGACACATTTGAATATAATTCTCGTACAGAGAAAGAAAAGAAAAGACGTGAAGTTTTCAGTGACAGAAGGACAGAAAGAAAAAAGAATAAAACACGACACATCTTTGTAACTCTGAAGTGTGATAAGATGGATCATGTGTGCAGCTCTGGTCTGATCGTAGCTCGTTCTTCACGTCTGTTTTTAAAGGTATCGTTGTGATTTCTTTGATGACGTTCAGAGTGAAGCGTCTGTGAAGGACGATCTTCCGAGTCGACGCTTCAGACTTCAGATCAGCTCTCAGTTCTTCTGTTTCCCGTCTGCAGCCTGAGAGCGACAGAAAGGAAAACACATCACTTTTTATTCACTCTTAAAGACAGAATGATCGACATGTGACACATGAATAAATCATAAAGTCTGTCCTGTGTAAATGTGTCTCTGAGTCCTGTCTGTCTACAATGAGGGAGAAGCTCGAGTCCCGCTGCCTCCTGTGGAGGTGTGTCTCTGGAGGAGAACGGAGGATGGAGGAGGCGTGGCCTAAAAGCGCGTTGTTTTTTGTTTCATGCTGGTGCTCGAGGGCGCCACATTCTCTCTTTAAAGAAAGACTTTTTATTGAAAGGAAACGACAGTCGAGTCGTTGAGTTGGAACAAACCTGAAACTTGAGCAGCAGAAAAGCGAGGAAGGCTCCGTAGAAACAGCTCTTCACGATGAACACGCTGTACGTCAGTTTGGCGCTCTGCGTGACCTTCAGATATTTGTCTGCAAGAGTTCAAACATGGAGATGAGTGACAGGAAGCAAAACACAAACAAACTCATGATCTTAGTTTCATACGGAAGCCCTGAGAGGACAATCATCTTTACATTTAATTTACTCTCCTACTGATCTGTTTTATCACCGTGAATAATTCATCATCATCTGCACCGTAGATAGTGACCTTATGACATCACACATTGACCTTATGACATCACACATTGACCTCATGACATCACACATTGACCTTTGAGCTGTTTGACCTCACTTTGGGATCCCTAACCACTTCCTGTTTGTGGTACCACTTACTTAATTTCAAAATAAAAGCACACAGCAAGTAAAGCACTCTCAGCTAAAGACAGTTCAAACATTCAGAATAAAAGCCTCAAAAAAAGTTTGTAAACGTTATTTTGGTCAATTATTTGGCACCTTTAATAATACTAATTGGTGTTGTAGTTTATATCATTGGAAACCCTGATTAGTCACCTTTACAACGAGGTATAACTTGTAAGGATTGTGCATTTGTGGAATGAGCAACACAGCTAAACGTATGAGTAGCACCCCAAAAAAATGTGCCAAAATCCCCTGCAATGTTCTGTTGGTATTCACTTTTTCTGAGCAGTTTATTTTATTTTAAAATGAAGAATAATGGAGTTTTAAACATGATACCACCTCTGAAGACGGTACAGAGGTGGGTTCACTTCGTCCCCTCATTACGCCTCAACGACATTCAGATAGAAGGGGACCTGTCTCAGCAGCGTAAATACCACGGCTTGAAACGGCGCCTTAATTAGGGCTTATGTTTGTTTTGTGATTCTGCAGCTGTGGGGTTAAATAAGATGTCATGAGGGGAGAAAAGGGAATGATCTTAAATATACATAAAGATGCATGTCTGCTGACGGCTTCTACAACAAATCAATTCTTCTGATATCGATAAATGTGGACGTTTACCTCTGGTGATGGTTTTTCTTTCAGCTGTTAGGAGAAAAGAGACGAGAATCAGATGAGGAAACATGTCGCTGTGTTTGTTTTTCTAACAGATGAAGAATCAGATTATTACCTTCTATTCCTTTAACTGAAGCAGAGTAAGGGACCGTTTTGTCCCCGTCAAAGAAGCGGACGGTGCAGGTGAATTCATTGTCAGGATTGTTCCACTCTTCAGCAGAGACCCTCAGCCTGCTGCTCATCATGTAGGTCTTTCCTTCTTCCAGCACGGCCTCGCTGTCCGTCGCCACACCTGAGCTGACCTCGCCCTCTTTGTCGGTCCAGGAGAAGCTGACATGATCCGGGTAGAATCCACTGGCCACACAAACGATGGTCTTACTCTGGTGTCCACACTCCTTTGGAGAAGCTGGGAGAACTCTGACTGTCGGTGGAGTGACGTCATGTTCTGCAAAACACAGAGGACAGAAATCAGCAAGTTAAAGCTGCAGACGGATCCACAACAAACCTCAAGAGTCACACCTCACTCCAGTGTTTCATCTGAGGTTCAGAGCCGAGTGAGGACGTGAACATCAGGGTACAGAAAGACACAGAATCACAGAAAGACACAGAATCACTCTGACTCAAACATGATGCTCACAGTGAGCAGATCTCACACTCACAGGGATTTAAACAGATTCTTTAAAGTAAAGCTGCAGATAGATCTACATGAACAAACTTCAAATACATAAATGTAATGTTCCAGTGAACACTCAGACATGAGGGGACATAAAGACCAGAATGAAACCTGATCATGGCAGGTTTGTTCACTTCATGTTTTGCTCTTAAACTTAAAAAAAAACAAACAGTGACATCATGATGTTTTTGTTCTGAGCTTCACACAGGTCCACGTCTCGGTGAGCGGATAAACACTCGGTTTTAAAAACGTGTTCTCAGAGATCTGACCCCGAACTGTGAGTCTGTTTCCTTTAACGAGTAAGCAGGAAAAGAGCTCGAGCCCACCGACAACTGGAGGGTCAGAAACAGACTTCAGAGGCTGAGTGAAGGCGGCATGTTTAAAGTTTCAAACACAATCCACAACCTGAACCCTCCTACTGATTCCTGATGTTTTTACTCTTCTCTGTTTATTTAGATTCATCCATCATGAATACTTTCAGTGCAACCTGCAGACTTCAGTCCAACAGAAACACCATCTGACTCCTTCAAATCAAACTGACAGCAGACCCGGAGTGCAACAAAAAATATGAATTTATAAGAAAACAAGACGCCCGGTCTGCAGGAAATCTAAACATCTACTTCTTACTAAATCCATTTTAAAAATGTCTTGCCGTCAAACACAAACAGAAAACGTCAAAGCATCAGTTCCACAGACATCCTGATTTCTTCAATCTTTAGCTCAACGATCATTTAACAGATCCAGGGTGAAAAACAACACTTTGAACCGTCTCTTACCTAAAACGCTGAGTTTAGTTCCAGCTCCAAAGTAAGCAGCATCGAGGTTGTTCACACTGAAACAGAGCTGCAGAGAAACTGCTCGACCTCTGAGCTGCACAAACTTCTTAATTTAAGATCCTTTTAAGAGAATGAGATCAGAACCGACCTTTGACCCTGACCTGGACCAGTTACAGACTTTAGTTTGATGATATATTCTGTTTAAACCACCCTGACTAAAACATCGTTCCTCTTAAAGTTTCAATAAAACATCACGAGGTGTGTGTGATTATTTTTGTCATTTTCTTACCTAAACGCTGAGTTTAGTTCCAGCTCCAAAGTAAGCAGGGGTTGTTTCACACTGAAACAGAGCTGCAGAAAAACCTCCTCGACCTCTGAGCTGCACGCTCTCTGACATTAAACTTCTGATTTAAGAGACTATTAGATCCAGAACCGACCTTTGACCCTGACCTGGACCAGTTACAGACTTTAGTTGGATGATATATTCTGTTGTTTTTGTCGTCTTACCTAAAACGCTGAGTTTAGTTCCAGCTCCAAAGTAAGCAGGTTGTTGTTCACACTGAAACAGAGCTGCAGAAAAACCTCCTCGACCTCTGAGCTGCACGCCGTCTCTGACATTAAACTTCTGATTTAAGATCCTTTAGGAGCATGAGATCAGATCCGACCTTTGACCCTGACCTGGAGGAGTTACAGACTTGATGATATATTCTGTCCTGTTTCTAGTCGTCTTACCTAAAACACTGAGTCTGGTTCCCGCTCCAAAGTGAGCCTCTGCCTGGTAGCTCACAGCGTTTCACAGAGCTGATAAGAACTCTGTGTGAGAGGAATAATCCGGGCTCACAGCCAAATGTTTGATTTATGCTCTCAACGTTTACAGCAGAACAAAACGCCATGCTGCTTTTTTGACATGAACACACAGTGAGCAGAAAGTCCTTCACATGTTTGAAAAAGAGAGGACTCTGTTCATGGTCACACACGAGCTCTAACAGTACACTTATTAAAGCATCTTAATGAGGACACCTGGAGAGAACCAGTGAGTTCTGCTCTGTTTGAGGCTTTTCTTACCTAAAACAGAGAGTTTAGTTCCAGCTCCAAAGTAAGCCTCGCTGTAGGAGCACAGAGACTTTCCACCCTCACAAAAACTCTCTTTGTCTTCATCTGGAGCTCGCTGAATCTAAACTCTGCTCGTTCTTTAAACGTTAAGACTTTAATCTCCCTTCACTTAACGTCACCTTCTGACCATCTAGATGATTCCTTTGACTTCTCTCATGATCATAAAGACTTTAAAAGATTTCAATCTGATTGACCTGCTGATGATGACGAGTCAGACAAACTCCCTCTTCATGTAGTTACCTGTTTAACTTCTCTGTTCACTTATCCATTAAATATGCTGGACAGGCCTCCAGCTCTCGTTCTAAGTGTGCGACAGGTGAAGTTTTCTGATCCCATCTCGTCCCTTTACTCACCAAGAACCGTCACTTTAGTCCCCGGGCCGAAGTACGCCTCTGACTGACTGACACAGCGTTCAAGGTGAATGTCAAAAAGCTGCGAGCTGACACTGAACGAGTTTGTTCTGCAGACTTTCATCACAGACTGTTCATGTTAAGAATGAGTTCCTTACCTAAAACAGTGACCCGTGTCCCTCCACCAAAGTGAGCCTCTGAAGAACCAGAGTCACAGTGAAGTCGTCTGTGACTCAAAACAAACCAGACGCTGCTCCCTCCTCTCGTCTAGTTCAAATCTCACAAATGTTTCAATGCAAAGGAAGCAGCTCTCAAAGATCCTCTTCAAAAAACCAAAACACGGCTCTACTTTTACTCGGTTTAACTTCTTTTATGAGCTGAATTCAACAGTCTTACTCACCGAGAACAGTCAGTTTAGTTCCTGCACCGAAGTACGCTTCGTAATTAGCACAGCGCTGAAGCTTCATGTCAAAAAGCTCTGAGCTGAACTGATAATAACCCAAACATATCAGGATCCTGAGAACGTCTCATCACGTTTATCTTTGTACATTTATAAAGATCTGACTCACCTAAAACAGTCAGTTTAGTCCCCGGGCCGAAGTACGCCTCGTTGTTGACACAGTGCTGAATCTTAACGTCAAAAAGCTCCGAGCTGACACTGACCTTTGACCTGGTGTCTCTCTGTAAGTTTGATCTGCAGACTGTGTTTGCAGAAAGCTTCTCTTACCTAAAACATTTGTAACATCTGAATCATCCCAGACTCACCTAAAACAGTCAGTTTAGTCCCCGGGCCGAAGTACGCCTCGTTAGCGTTGTCACAGTGCAGAAACACTGAGCATCAAACTCTTCTTTCTTTCTCTGCCACACTAATCTGTAAGAAGCTTTGTCTCATATTTCCATCTATACTGAGTCTCTGCAGCAACATGAAATCCATCATAAGAGAGTGAAACACTGAAATATTTACCTAAAACTGAGAGTTTGGTTCCTGGGCCAAAGTAAGCAGGTTCAGTGTAGCTCACAGTGTCTCTGTTCAGCTCAATAATTCAGACTCTTCACTACAACATGTTTTGTCTTTGACTTGAAAACAACTTGTTCACTAGTTGAAGTCTGTTTAAGTGAACGTCAGTGATTAAAGCTCCAACTTACCCAGAACTGTGAGTCGTGTTCCCTCTCCAAAGTGAGCTTCAGTTCCAGTGTCACACTGAAAGTCTCCTCCAACAAAAAGTCACAAAAGGTCCCAGAATGTGCACGATGTCGCTCAGAGTGATGATCCAGAGGATGAAGGAGGTTTAAACATGCAGGATGAGCTTCAGAGAGTTCACATGAGTGTTGTTGTTTCTGAAGAGCAGAGAAAGAAAGATCCAGACTGTGAACATGTGAACTTAAAGATGTTAGAAACACCTTTTCCTGCAGGTTTCCTCTATATGAATGCACGCTGTGCTGCTAAAGCCTCCTGTCCTCTTGTCCACCTCCAGATTTCATGTGTTTCTGCTCTCCTGCAGCACGCAGCAGTCTGCTCACTGTGTGTTCATGGGAGGAGGTTTTTGTACGGCGGCTCCATAGGAATGTATCACCGTGGCCCCTGTCCCCACGGTGAGAAAGCATCATACAAAAACCTCCAGCGTGTTAGTTTCTGTGCTCCTCCGTATCTCAGCCTCCATCTCGGTGAGCCTGGGAGAGCAGCTGTGCAGCTCTGCTGAGAGACGACGAGCTGGCTGCTGCTATTTCTGTGACAGCTAAGAAAAGAAGCTGAGGGAAGGAAGAGAGGAAACTGATGTTTGTTAGATTATCAGTGCTCAGAGGGAGGGACGCCTCTGCTGGTCACACCTCTTCACACAAACTGTCAGGAGACACTTTTACAGAGGATCACTCCCTGACAGATGTGACTGATGAGTGGTTTGTCCTCCACGTCCTCTCCGTCTGACTCTACCTTGATGTGTTGAAGCACAGGATGCACAGGGTCAGCAGAGAGGAAGTGAATTCTGCAGGTTTGGTCCAAGAGCAGCTTGGGGGTGTCACAATTGCTAAATAAAAACAATCCACTCACTTCTGCATGTGGTTGTCCCAATACCAGATTTTGAAGGTAACAGAGGAGTTGAGATGGGACAGACACCTGGCTCTGATTCCCAATAAGGATCACAGACCGGCTGCCTGGTTTGTGCTGGTACCACAGCATCCTGGAGAATAAGTTGGCATCATATGTGCATGTTGTCGTCAGCTCATCAGTCCCTTCAGTAAGAACCCGAGAGGGGAAACACCCTCCACTTTACCTGTGAAGAAAGTCAGTTAATGTCATTGTTGAGATAAAGTTTGAATTCAATATTTGCATCAATTCATCACAGAGACAGCAGTTAGAGAAAAGTCACATCAACTTTGAATGGTAAGACTGAGCAGCAAAAGTCCAAATGTGTATTAAAGCTGCCACATCCTGGAAACTCAACTTAAACTAAGACCTGTGCAACAGCCATGACTAAATGTAAATTCATAGGGGGCGCCAGAAGCTTAGTGATCAGTGTACGTGCCCTATCGAGGGGCTGTGGTCCTCCAAGTGGGTGGCCTATAGGTTCGAATCCGACCTGTGGCTCATTTCCTGCATGTCATTCACTCTCTCTCCCTGATTTCTGACTATGTGCACTGTCCTATTTAGAAAATATTTGCATAAAAAGTACCAAAAAACCTTGAATTTTTTTTTTTTTTTATATATATATATATATGCATATATGCATATTTGCAGATCAAATGACTTTTACAGTCTGTACTCAGATTTAGGAGGAGCATTGTCATGTTGTTCATGTCTGACAAACAGATGACACATCAAACATAGACTTTCTTATTATCTCCATCACACCACCACGCCTCCTCTTCAGCTCCTCTGATAATCGCTGATCTTGATGATAATAAAAAATCTGCTTGCCTCTGCTTTCTTTGCAGCACTTTTATTCAAAAACCATAAAAGTTTGGCATTATACTCATTTGAAAAATATTTTAAACACTGTGTAAGAAGAAAGAAATGCTTTCAAACATCATGACTCCATGCCTTTCATATATCAAACTCTTTAATGTTATGAGTAGAAAAACCATAAAAGGTCTTAATGTTTTTTTTCTTCATATCAGTTGAATTGAAAATAATTAAAACGTTTTTAAAGTCATTTAATTAAATTATTTTTGCCTCTTTGTGTTATACTTCTTTAACATTTGTGATGATGTTTTCACTTTCAGTTTGTGTGTGTTTAACTTTAACCTCTTACTGCGGTGATTGGATGAATATCTGCTGCTGAGTCTCTGTGGACTGTGATTGGTCGGCATTGAGTAGAGCGGGCTTTTTACAAGGATGCCCCGCCCACACGGTACACTGACCGGTAGGAGTTCGGAGGTCGAGCCCTGTCAAACGGTTGCTGGGGAGAAAGAAATGTAAAACAGCTTAAAGCTTCTGTGTGCGTCGAAGATACAACAAATGTTGGAGGTGGTTAGTAAACAAGTAATGTTCTTTTAATTTAAGACATTTTTAGCGGGTATTTTAGCATAATAACGCTTAACTGTCGCATTTGGCTAAAAGTCACCAGTTAACGTAACCGCACTCAAACTGTTAGCAAAGAATGCTAATCCTCTTGAGTTTAGTTTTATTTTCCGACTTTTTCCTATTTGATACTTTTTCAAATTGTTCAGTCTTCCAGATTTTGTACCTTCATCCCTCCAAGGTAATAAATTGCCTTCTTTTAATCGTGTTGTGTCCTGGGCTAAGCTATATTTGGCTAAGATATTGGTTGCTAACTGCTAACAGTTAAGCGGCTAAGGTTGGACTAGCTAACAGTGAACAATTGTTACTTACTCCTTTATTTTTTTTATAGTTTTAATTAGCTAGTTGGTTAATTGCTTGAATATTTTCTTTTGACATTGGTGGACATTTTGTATGAGGGACAAAAAATGACTAAAGTATAAATAAATGAATATATGTTGGGAGAAATTCATACAATAATGTATAAATAAATAAATAATTAAATAAATGCATCAACAAATATAATAATAATAATATATAAATAAATATATTTATGTATTTCTGTGTCCATGTTGTACAAGGAAAAGTAAATATGTAAATTAAGTGGGCCGTCCTAACATTACTGAAGTAGGATTGGTCGAAGCAAATTTACTTTTCCTCTTACGACCTGGACACAGAAATAACTAGATGTGTAAATGTAAAAATACGGAAATAAATTAATAACTCAATTAATGTGGAAATGTATGCATTGATACATAATTAACTGTAGAAATACGCTAATAAATGAATAAATACATGTAAAAATATATAAATAGCCTTTTTCATTAACAAAGTGTATTTATTATTTATTCATTGATGTATTGTTTTCAGCATTTATATATTTATTGATATATTTATGGATGCATTTATTTAATTATTTATTATTTATACATTATTGTATGTATTTCTCCCAACATTTATTTATTTATTATTGAATTTATTGATCTATACTTTAGTCATTTTTTGTCCCTCATAGTTTTACAGCAACTGAATAGTCTGACACAACTGCTGTGGTAGAGTTAACTGTTTAGGACGGTTAGCTGTATTGTTTTGAAAGTTAACAGTCACTTCAACGGTTGATCCAAACCGTTACATTAATGGTCACTTCAACAGTTAAACAACAGTGAAACATAAACTCTCCCAGTTGATTTTTTAGCTCCAAACAGTCTTCCAGGGACAAATTTTTTGTTGGAGTAAAGTTTGTGTATCTAGTTCAGAAAATATAGCACAAAATGTTCTTCTCCAACTTTTAAATTACCAGATCTCCATAGTGCACCTTTAAATTGGATGCTGTCCTTTTGTATCTATAGTGAACAGTATCCGGTTATGTAAACTACTTTTTGGTTAAAGTCTTTCTATGTGATTTTTCACACTTAAATATAATATAAATCAAGTATATCCTCTGAAAATAACTCTGTGAGTCATGACTGTCTACAATGGGTGTAACACCCGAGTCCCACTGTCTGTGATGTTTTCAGAGTTTTCAGAGTCCTATCTTCACTTTGTTTACATCGCCGGGACGGCCGGCTGACTCCTCCCCTCGTGTATAAAAGTTGTTTAATTGAGGGACTAGAGAAAAGAAAATAACATACTGTACTCACTGCTTAACTGTGTTTCTAGATCACGCTCATTTCAGGTAAATTTACATGCAGTGTGAAGATACCAGCATAATAAAGATCGCTAGCATTAGCATGCTAACACAACAATGCAGCGTGAGTTGTTTTGGTTTCATGCTGGTGCTCAAGGGCGACATCTGCTGGATCAAAACATCACATATAAAGCCTTTAATATGTGTTTTTTTTAATCCGTGCATGTGTAGTTATGTTTTTGTATGAATAATTTATAACATTACTGAACTAAAAACTACGGAGCCCCTGAAGTACCAAAAACTAAAAAAGGCATGATATAACGTTGTGTGCACAAAATATATACTTGATTGAACTTGGGCCTCTGGTAAGGACAATCCTTGTTTGCAGCCCTTTTCCAGACACTGTGTGTGTGTGTGTGTGTGTGTGTGTGTGTGTGTGTGTGTGTGTGTGTGTGTGTATACAATGAGCTGTGCCTCCACCTGTTGGTTGAATCCTTTTTTTCAGGACCCTGCTGTATTTCATTTAGCTTTATATTTATACTTTTGTTTTTTGTTTCCATGGTGTAATTTGCAAGCATTGAAATGATTAAACCTTCTTAAAATGGTAAGCTGTAGAGAGGGTATCTGCATGCCATCAGTTACAGCTGGTCAGTGGCAGAAAGCACTTACTGGTGTCAGGAATAAGAAGGGAGTGAGCAGTTAGCAGTTTTAATTTTGCTGAAAGTGTCGTCTTTTCAGTCATGACAACTTATGTGTGCAATTAAGGCAGTGCATGCAGTTATTTCACTGTTACCAGTTTATACAATATTCTTGTATGTGTATTTAGAGGTGAAGACACCCTCAAAAACACAGGTGGTGACAAAGCTAATGGAAAGTTGGTTGTTGTTTTGCATTGAGAAAAAATCTTTCCACTAATTTGGCTGGAATGGAAAGCTCAAGGAACGTGTTTAACACCAGGCATGCCTTTAAATCTCATTTAAAACTGTTATGATCTTAAAGGTTTTTAAGTGGACCCAAAAGCAAGACCGGAAAACAGGGTGGTGGGTAAGGGGTATTTATTGAAGTGAGGCTGGTGAAGGCTGGTGAGGCTTGAATGAGAGGCTGGGTGGTGAGGCGCTGGAGCTCGATGGTTGGAGGTACTGGGGAAAAAAGAAGACAAGGGATAATTAGTGACAGGTATCCAAAGCACAAAAAAGTCTACTGATACTGAGAAGCCGATCTGCCATGGTGTAGGCGGAAATAATCAGGCAGCTTGGGAGAGTTGAACCAGGGTATAAATGCTGCAGCCGGTGATTACAGATGACGAACAGGTGAGTGATTGCAGGAGCTCCAGCAGCCAATAAGCCACACCCAGCCTCTGAAAGAAAAAAAACACAAGCACCAAACAAGGAAAAATACACAGAAATGTCCAATCACCACAAAAACAAAGGGTTATATTTCTGTAATTTTCTTGACTGAAATGTGTGAGAATTTTAGAGATGATGACAAATCCTGAAAGTGTAACAAACGCAGAAGTACTGCTGCTGATACGAAACCTCCTCCTGTTATATCAGATCTGGATTAGAAAAAAAGGCCGACATTGGTTAGTATGTCGTGGTACAGCTGTAAGGGGCTGTGGAGTGCAGCGCTGAGATGAAATAAAAACAGTATCAGCAGGTTTTTGTATTGAGGAGCAAAGTTATGAAGCACTGTGGAGACTAGCAGCACAGAAATACACCGCACTACTGCTCAGCTCCACTGCTTCTATTGTTAATGTGCAGTTCTGGCGTTCCAGTGCGCTCCCTTCAATCTTCACATGAACTCCATCTTCAGGATAGCCGTCTTTAACATTCATGTATCCGAGGAACTGCATCTGTCTGTTCTTTAACTGTTTGTACCAGAGCATTCGGTTGTAGTCCTTGATTTCATGTTTACAGTTGATTTGGGGTTTTTCTCCCGGTTTGCTGAACATGTGCGTCGGCTTCTGCTCGACTATTTGGCTGAGGGACGAACCTGTGGGAAAAGCAACAGCGCACAGTCATGCTCAGTAAAAGGCTGCAGCTGTATGGATGAACAGAAATGTAAACAGACTTTTCATTAGATTACCTGAGAAGAGAAAAACACTGAAGGTGAAACAGAAGAAAGTAATCATGATGCTGCTCTTCAGTTCACTCTGGTTATTGCTTCTCTGTTTTAGTCACAGAAAACCTCAGACTGTAATGTTGACTATCTCCGCCTCCTCTAAAGAACACGCCCCGTCATTATGAAAGGAAGCCACAGACCTTCTCTCATTCTCATTACTTCTTACAGCTCGTCCTAACAGCATGCCACACCGGCCAGCACGCTCTTTACTCCTGGAGCGTGCTTAGAGCCTGAAAGCAACGCAGCGCGCCGTTTTAGCTCTGACGTCTGCCCCGCGATATCCAACACTATCCAACGCTCGCATGCTGTCTGTTAGTCAGCTTTTTAAAAAAGCAATACAGTACAGATTAACTGTTCAAACTTTGTACTCAAGTTTCTTATTCTCCTTTTTTAAACCCTCAATTCATTTCTTTTTTAAAGGATTTTTTGGGGGCTTTTTATGCCTCTATTTTAGAGATAGGACAGTGGACAGAGAGAAAGCGTGGGGAAAGGAGCCACAGGTTGGATTCGAACCCGCACTGCCTGCTCTCAAGGGCTTAAGCCTCTGTACATAGTGTGCACCAAACGCTAGGCTACTGGCGCCCCATCTTAAATTAAATAGTTTGCTTGTTGTCATCTAGTCTTAAAAAATGCATTTACCAATATGAAAGTAGCTGAAATGCAGCTGATGTTTTTGAGTTTTGATTAAAGTTTCAAGCTCTGAGAGGAAAATTAAACTGAAAAGAATCAGGTGGTCATATTTGAGGTCCAGTTTGATTCTTCTTCTCTGTCCTGTGTTAAAGGTCACATATCCTCCTCCTCCTTTTCTTCAGTTTAAATAAGTCTCAGAGCTCCTCAAAACATGTGTGTGAAGTTTCTTGTTCTGAATCCACTCTGATCCTGTATTTGATCATGCCTAGTGCTGGGCGATATGGCCTAAATTTGATATCATGATATTTTTTTGCCTAATGTCGATATTCGATATGACTCGATATTTATCGTATTAAAGTTTATAAATGTAGTCTATAAAACTGAAACTCCACTGTCTAAAAATATATATATATATTTCAGTGATATATATATCACTGGCCCGACCATTGTAACCACTGGCCCAGGAACATTACTTTTGATTCGAAAAATAACAGTCACCAATTTACTCTTGACCCATTCTGATGCAAAAGTCAATTACAACTTTTATCAAATAAATTGAGCTCTAATTATAAAAATATTGTGTATTTTTCTTGTATATTTATGTGCTCATGTTTATTCACCATGCTGCTAACTGTAAGAGTCTACTTAATCTGATATTAATATGAGGCTGTGATAGATCTGGAATCTCTCCTTCTTTTTCTTCTCTGTGAGAAACTCGTCATCCTTAGATCTTTACTTTAGGAGCTCTCTTAAGGGCTAAGATGCTTTGTGAATAACTTTACCAGGATCTTGTCTTTAACTTTAATGTGTTCCAGCTCCTCCAGCTGTCTGTCACTGTGGCTCAAACTTTTCTCCCTTCTGTTTTCGTCATGCCCTGCTGTCACTCTCAACTTTTCTGGTGATTTTTTAAATTTGAATTCTGATGTAAGATAGGCTTTTGTCGGGATCTGATGGTTTTAAAACCGTTTTACCAAACGTGTGTTTTAGTAAAGAAAACCTGCGCTAAAATCTGTGTGTGAGTGTACAACTCCAGTGTAGTGAGTGCGCCTGCGGGAGTGACAGCAGTGAAGCCGCCAGCTGAACGTCCAATCAGCTGGACTCTGTCAATCATTCATCCGGGCCAGAGGGCCATTTATCATGTCGAGCCCTGCGTTATGTGCCCTTTTTTGGTGTTGGGGTTGTATCAAGTCAACTTTGGTTATATTCTTTAATAATTATATTTAATTATTAATAATACAAATAAAATATAATTAAACTATGTTTAATCAGTATTGGGGCACCACCCTGAAGGGAAATATAACCAAAATCAGTCTCAAATTAGTTACTTAATTACTAATATTATTAATAATTAATAACTATATTTAATAAATTGAAGGTGTGAAATCCATACACAAAGCCCTCACACCCAGCTTATATCACAATGTAAACACACCAGTAATCACAAACAACTGCTCTCTTAAATTATAACAGAATTTATTTAAACAAAGCAACATCAATCCAAAATCAATGAACTTAATCAAACAAATAACTATCATAAACTAATCTAAGCAACAAACATTATTAAGCAAGACTTGTGAATGAGTTGAAAAGGTGTGTGTATGTAGATGAGAGAGAGAGAGAGAGAGAGAAAACAAGATGGTGGAGAGAGACAATGCACCATGTGGCTTCTTCACATGGTGACAAAATGGTGGACAACAAAGGAAGCCGTGTGGCTACCTTTTGAAATAGTTTGAGCTCTCTGAGCTGAGTTCAGTAACTGTTACTTAAACACCAGAAAGCCAGTGGCCGGACTTTGATTCAACGGCGGGTACACTGGTCTTTCTGATTGTGAAAGTCGTTGACTGAAGGTAAACTAGCATAGCATTACACACATAGATGAACACAGCAGTTCATTACAATAAAACAAATGCAGCAGCTTACAACAGATAACAAACAGAATGTGACGTCTCGTCAACAATGATGTATAATTATCAGTGGTTATAAAAGAAACATAACTATTTCTGAAACTATTTCTGCCCAGACCAAAGCTCTTACTTGGGGTAACTCCTGGTGATCGTTGCAAAGTTGGTTAGATAGTGACTCTGTTGAATGTTAAATCAACAGATTCAGGCAGGGTTCCTTCGTGGCAGATGTAGGAGGAGGGTAACGGGATTCAGATCTTCGACCAGAGTACTGCTCTAGGGTCTTCAGGTTGCAGGAGCTGAGTTCCTATGTAAGCCAAGAGGAGGAAAGGGTTTGTCTCGAATGCTGGAGTCCATCTTGTTGGAGAGGGTATCCTCTGGTGTCGGCAGACAACACTTGAAGAGGAGGAAGCAATGCCTGGTGATTACTTTTAAAGACTGGAGCTGCCTGTGGGTTTACCTCAGGCCTCCTCCAATGAGGATAGAGAATTCAGACAGAGATAGATAGACAAAGATAGAGATGATGGACTTTTCAAATCCATATAGAAATCTATTTACTAATTTATTTTATTAAATAAATATATATATTACTCGAGCCAATCAGAATCAAGCAGCCACTCTGAGGGACCCTTGATTGGGTCATCAGCTACACTATCACTCACTATAAGGAATGGAATCCTATTAGTGTGATGAGACGATTTAGAAGTACTGAATGTAACTTCCTGTTTATAACAGGATGTGGGAGGATGAGTGTAGTTTGTCTGGCTGCTCATGACAAACCTTCCCTTCTTATAATATCTGATCTTTATGAATGGGTCGACCGAGGGGGGTTAACGGCTCATTCCAGGTGTGAGTGGGGGCTGTGAGCTGTAATGCTGAGATGTAGAAATGTGAAAGAGGAGGTTTTTGTACTGCTGAGCAGTGACATGCAGCACTGTGTAAACTAGCAGCACAGAAATAGACCGCACTGCTGCTCTGATTGACTCGCTCGATTATTAACGTGCAGTTCTCTCCTTTACTCGCGTCCCCTTCCATCTTCACTTTAACGTCTTCTCTGTATTTGAGGTGGTTGAATACATATATCCCAGGAGCTGCATCTGTTTGTTTGACTGCTTGTACCAGAGGATCTGGTTATAGTTATCGATCTTGTGTTTACAGTTGATTTTGGCATCTTTGCCCGGTTTGATGAAAATGTCCCGTGGAGTCTGGTCGACTTTGTCACTGTTCGAGGAGCCTGTGGAAAGACATCGACCAAAATCAAGACACAGTTTATAAGAATGAGTTCAAACTCAAACATAAAGTTAGAACTGAAGGAGCAGCACTTTACAATACAGCACAATATAAATCAATAAAGTGATGTTGACTGAACCTTCAAAGACGTTACCTGAAACCAGAAACATGTTCAAATGAACGATTAGGTAGAAGATGATCATGCTGCCTTTTCTGTTTGGTAATAATGTTTCTTATATGATACTCTCAGTGACTTTTTCCAGCCTCCTCTTGTCATAAAACCTCCTTTCAGCAAACTGAACAGGTAGTCATAAGGTGGGCGGAGCCGTAGTTTATTCTCCTCCTATTAGCATCATGTCAACCACAGACACACAACACCAGCTCAGTAAAAAGGCTGAAAATAAACCACATTATCAGAAAGGAAATCCAGGTGTTCAGTAGAGATGAAGAGGAGGTTTTTGTACTGCTGAGCAGTGACATGCAGCACTGTGGAAACTAGCTGCACAGAAATAGACCGCACTGCTGCTCTGATTGACTCGCTCGATTATTAACGTGCAGTTATCTCCTTTATTAGCACCCCCTTCCAACTTTACATTCACTCCATCCTCTAGGGTTACGGCCTTGTAATACACATATCCCAGGAGCTGCAGCCGATTGTCGTTTGACTTCTTGTACCAGAGGATTTGATCATAGCTTTGAATCTGGTGTGAACATTGTATTCTGGCTGGTTCTCCTGGTTTACTGTAAATGTCTCTTGGAGTCTGGTGGACTTGGTCACTTGAAGAGGAAACTGTGGAAAGATCAAACCATTAAAGAATTAGTCCTCATGAACAGGAGTGTGACAGATTATCAAGAAAACTGCCATGTCTTTAAATCTATCTGCACACAGACTTTTCATTAGATTACCTGAAACCAGAAACATGTTCAAATGAACGATCAGGTAGAAGATGATCATGCTGCCTTTTCTGTTTGGTAATAATGTTTCTTATATGATACTCTCAGTGACTTTTTCCAGCCTCCTCTTGTCATAAAACCTCCTTTCAGCAAACTGAACAGGTAGTCACAAGGTGGGCGGAGCCGTAGTTTATCTTCCTCCTCTTAGCATCATGTCAACCACAGACACATAACACCAGCTCAGTAAAAAGGCTGAAAATAAACCACATTATCAGAAAGGAAATCCAGGTGTTCAGTAGAGATGAAGAGGAGGTTTTTGTACTGCTGAGCAGTGACATGCAGCACTGTGGAAACTAGCAGCACAGAAATAGACCGCACTGCACTCCACGAATCCCTCGAATTCTTCTTCTTCAGTGTCCGAATTGAACAGTTGGGCGAGTACGGCATCCAACATGTCATTATCCGAGTCAGTGTCGCTGAGCGCCGTGTACAACCAGTATGGATCAACCAATTAACCAATTGATCCATATATAAGGCGCTCCGGATTATAAGGCGCACTGTCGTTTTTTGAGAAAATTAAAGGCTTTTAAGTGCGCCTTATAGTGCGGAAAATACGGTAACTCTTAAATCTGATATAAGTGAGAATGTGTCTTTTAACTTTAAAAATCTTATAACCAACATAAAACATGACTTAGAGAGATGGAAGTCTCTGCCACTGACTATATGGGGAAGGATAGACACATTAAGAATGAATGTGTTACCTAGAATAACTTACCTCTTTGCAGCGCTACCACTCTCTGTAGATAGGGGACTCTTTAAAGAAATAAGTAAGTTCTTGTTGGGGTTGTATCAAGTCAACTTTGGTTATATTCTTTAATAATTATATTTAATTATTAATAATATAAATAAAATATCATTAAACTATGTTTAATCTCGTTTTGGGGCACCAACCTGTACTCAGGTAAATATAACCAAAATATCACTCAAATCAGTCTCAAATTAGTTATTTAATTACTAATATTATTAATAATTAGTAACTATATTTAATAAATTGAAGGCGTGAAATCCATACACAAAGCCCTCACACCCAGCTTATATCACAATGCAAATACACCAGTAATCACAAACAACTGCTCTCTTAAATTATAACAGAATTTATTTAAACAAAGCAACATCAATCCAAAATCAATGAACTTAATTAAACAAATAACTATTATAAACTAATCTAAGCAACAAACATTATCAAGCAAAGGCTTGTGGAAGGGGTGTGTGTGTGTGTGTGTGTGTGTGTGTGTGTGTGTGTGTGTGTATCTGTGGATGAAAGAGAGAGGGAGGGGGGGAAGATTACTTCGTCCCATGTGGTCGCCCTTCCGATGGCGCACACCTAACAAAGACCTAAATGTGGCCTTAATGTCTAAAAGAGACCGAGTTCGGCCCTACACGATCTGTGTCTCTGAGGCGTCTGGATAGCCGCGAGTGTATAGATCTCTGTGTGTGTGTGTGTGTGTGTTCGTAGAAGGGGAAATAAAAGAGGATAAAAGAGAATAAAAGAGAAATGCGTGCCTGAAGTTGTGGATCACTGTCTGAATCCCGCGCCACAACTCGGAGTAATTCCCTTCATTCACAGAAACAAACCAATAGCTGAATTCAGTTAATACAGCTTACACTGGCCTTTCTGATCAGAAGAGTAATACCGGTTATAACGCTGTTACGCTAAACACATATAGGACGCAGCGGTCCGAAACAACAACAAGAGTTTTAAACAGGTAAAACTCAGGAAGCAGGTCCAACAAAGATAAAAATTACAGTTTCTGCTTCAATCAACAATTGTTAAAAACACTCTCTAAAGCTAATTCTGCCCAGACCTAATTAAGCCTCACTTGTGAATCGCTTTGTCCGCGATTGGTGAAAGGAAAAGAGTCCGGCGATGGAGCAGATCTTCTGTCCGTCCTGGTGCAGAGGCGTCTGATGGCGGCGAGGGTCCCTTACGGCGAGAGCGGCTTCGTTGGTTCTCCGTCGAGTGGAAAGATGTCCGTTGATGTCCTTTCGTTGCAGGACGGAATAAGACCGTTATCTTTCTGATAATCTGTTATAGTCTGACGCTCTCCGAGAAACTGAGATGCGTTCACTGGACAATCCGAGCTCGGAATTTAGAACACTGCCGGCCGCGGATTACCTGCGCGCCAAAAAAACTTAAAACTAAGGAAGATTGTTGCAGAAACAGGAGGTGAGCTTGTGTCTCCGAGCACTAGAAGTCAGCGCGTGGAAAGAGGAAGAACAATGGAAGTCTTCCGGTCCCCCCCTTACTTCACGCGTAGGTGTGAGGTACCGCAGGGGATTCTGGGATTAAGAGTCCTTTTAGGCCTCTTTGTGATCTCAGTGAATAACTCAAATGAGGCTTCAAACAGAGGTGCAGGTCCAAGTCCATTGTTTCACTGTCTTAAGCCTGTGTGGCCCAACACTCTTCCATAATTTTATTTGGAGAGATAAGACCCCAAGGGTAAGCAGAAAGAAGTTGTATATTGACATGAAGTCAGGTGGTCTTGGACTACCAGATGTATACAATTATTACCTTGCCTTCAACTCACGCTATCCTCTTAGCTGGGGTTATGGCTCAGATTTAAGAAAAACAAGATGGGAAAATATAGAACAAGAAATCATAAACCAAGTAAAGGTAAAAATATCTATGCAGGGCCTTTGGTATAGCCCCTCCTGTAGAATTATAGACAATCCATTAATCCAGTTTTCCTGTGACATCACTAAAGTTCTACAGAAGTCTTTGAGCTTTACAGCAAAAACATCCCCAAATGCTCCCATTTGGAACAACTACGGGTTTACTCTGGGTGGTAGGCCTATGAGGAATGACAACTGGGAGGCTAAAGGAATTGTTATACTAGATGACTTGAGAACCTTGCATAGCAGAAAACTGAAAACGTTTCACGAGATGAAAACCACATATGGCATAGAGAATAAAGACTTTCTGTTATACATGCAAATAAGGTCTCAGCTGTCTAGGCACTTAGGAGAGGCGGTAACCATACCCAAAATGAATGAGACAGAAATAACTCTAAAGAAAACAATAAGTGAAGGAGAGAAAATAGCTTCCAAGGTGTACAAACCTTTAAATAGATCACTAGATGATTGTTGGAGAACAACACAACGGAACTGGGAGTTAGATATAGGTAAATCCCTGGATCCTGAGACATGGGAACATATTTGGAAAACACTCAGTTTCCAAATCAGTTAAAAACAAGATGATTAATTATCATTGTATACATCGACTATACTTTACGCCAGTTCGACTCAATAAGATGGACTCATCTAAGTCTGATCTGTGTTGGCATTGTAATCAATTTAAGGGAACCTTTTTCCAAATGTTATGGTCCTGTGATTATATAAAAATGTTCTGGGATGGGGTTACTGCTTCTCTTGGTAAAAGTATTGGTAAAAATGTGACTTGTGAGCCTGTGATGTGTCTTCTTAACTATGCACCTCAAGGAACTTGGTCAAAACAAAATAAGCAAATAATAACAACCGGATGTATGACGGCCAAGAGACTGATTGTTAGCCACTGGAAAGAAACAGGAAAACTGAATCATGATCTATGGCTACATACATTTCTGGAGACTGTTTCAGTGGAAGGTGCAGACTCTAGCCTGGTTGACGAATACAAGGAAGACCAACACATATGGAAAGACATTTTAGACATTATAAAGACTGTGCCGATATTCCCCACACTCCAAAGACAGACAGTGCAAGCTAGGTAACCAAAAAATAATACCTCCCTAAGTACACCCTCTCTTCGCCCCTCTATAGCTATACGATATATACTTCCTCTGTGACCTCGTTTGTGTTTTGTTGTTGTTCTCTGCCTGTTTTTATTTATTTATTAATTTTTTCTCTATCTTGTTTTTTTATTTATTTTTTTGTTGGATGTTGCAAATGTCTTAAGAAAAATAAAAAAATGTTAACGCATACTGTAAGCTGTCTTTAAAGTTGAACTTAAATAAAAATCCAGGTGTTCAGTAGAGATGAAGAGGAGGTTTTTGTACTGCTGAGCAGTGACATGCAGCACTGTGTAAACTAGCTGCACAGAAATAGACCGCACTGCTGCTCTGATTGACTCGCTCGATTATTAATGTGCAGTTCTCTCCTTTATTAGCACCCCCTTCCAACTTTACATTCGCTCCATCCTCTAGGGTTCCTTTTTTGAAATACACATATCCCAGGAGCTGCAGCCGATTGTCGTTTGACTTCTTGTACCAGAGGATTTGATCATAGCTTTGAATCTGGTGTGAACATTGTATTCTGGCTGGTTCTCCTGGTTTGCTGTAAATGTCTCTTGGAGTCTGGTGGACTTGGTCACTTGAAGAGGAAACTGTGGAAAGATCAAATCATTAAAGAATTAGTCCTCATGAACAGGAGTGTGACAGATTATCAAGAAAACTGCCATGTCTTTAAATCTATCTGCACACAGACTTTTCATTAGATTACCTGAAACCAGAAACATGTTCAAATGAACGATCAGGTAGAAGATGATCATGCTGCCTTTTCTGTTTGGTAATAATGTTTCTTATATGATACTCTCAGTGACTTTTTCCAGCCTCCTCTTGTCATAAAACCTCCTTTCAGCAAACTGAACAGGTAGTCATAAGGTGGGCGGAGCCGTAGTTTATCCTCCTCCTCTTAGCATCATGTCAACCACAGACACACAACACCAGCTCAGTAAAAAGGCTGAAAATAAACCACATTATCAGAAAGGAAATCCAGGTGTTCAGTAGAGATGAAGAGGAGGTTTTTGTACTGCTGAGCAGTGACATGCAGCACTGTGGAAACTAGCTGCACAGAAATAGACCGCACTGCTGTTCTGATTGACTCGCTCGATTATTAACGTGCAGTTCTTTCCTTTACTCGCGTCCCCTTCCATCTTCACTTTAACGTCTTTCTCTGGATTTGAGGTGGTTGTAAACATATATCCCAGGAGCTGCATCTGTTTGTTTAACTTCTTGTACCAGAGGATCACGTTATAGCTTTGAATCTGGTGTGAACATTGTATTCTGGCTGGTTCTCCTGGTTTACTGTAAATGTCTCTTGGAGTCTGGTGGACTTGGTCACTTGAAGAGGAAACTGTGGAAAGATCAAACCATTAAAGAATTAGTCCTCATGAACAGGAGTGTGACAGATTATCAAGAAAACTGCCATGTCTTTAAATCTATCTGCACACAGACTTTTCATTAGATTACCTGAAACCAGTATAATGTTCAAGGTTATGCAGCAAACAATGATCATCATTCTGAATGTTCAGTCACTCCTGGTTCTGCCACGGCGCTCTTCAGTTTAGTTCATACCGTAGAAGGCAAGCCTTCGTATCAGCAAACTGAGGGGGGTGGGGTCATCACCTCCTGTTCTCAACATTGAACCATTCACTGCTGCACACCATCTGAGGAGTACAAGAACACACCTACCTCCGGAACAGACTCACTCAAATCTAAGGCCCCCACGATTACCCCCACTCCCCTCACCTCCCCCTCCCCCCTGTCCCCCGCTGACCTGCACTCACACTGCTCCAGGACTAACCGGGTCTAAGCATGGTTACCTCTTAAACAAGCGTCGTAGTACAACACATGCATGGCTTTATGTGATCATGAAGTGTGCTTAGTTTACAAGACTAGGCGGACTCGAGAAAAAAATGGAAAACAACACAGAGAACACAACAGCTACTTTACTGACTTTGAGGCTTGTTTTGAGTCATCTTAGTCAGATACTGCGAGAACTAAATTACAAAATAAAAGAGACCTGGGTGGAGTTCGCGTCCGCACATCCGAGTACAGTGCAGAGAACATGACAGCTACTTTGCTACTACTATTACTATTACTACAAGGACGGCTGTGGCTCAGTGGGACGACTGTGGCTCAGTTGGTAGAGTCATCTTCTTTCAACAGAAAGGTTGAGGGTTTGATCCCCAGCTTGTGTGTGGTGATTTTGTGGGAAAATAGTCTGAAATATACCTGGGTGCAGGGTCCGAAAATCACTTTTTGACTCACCGGCCAAGGTGGCAGGCAGATGATAAAATACACCGGCCAAAATAAAAAATGGTGTTTTTGTGTCCCATACACATACATTACAGTACATTTAATTAAGAAGGCATTATTTTTAATCAGTAACAGATTTAAGTTATTTTATCAGATCAGGAAATTGAGAAATTGAAAAAAAATATATTTGCTGGCCTTTATTTGATTTATTTTTTTATTATTTGTAGGCAGTAGTTCCCAGACCCTCCATGCAGAACTCTACTAGATTTTAGCACTTCACTTTCTCTTAAGTTCTTACTGAAACAGCTGAATGATTATTGGTTACACGTCTGTCAATCATCTTTAACAAAATGTGGACGTGTGTATTAAAGTCATGCTGCCCAGGTTAAATGATCACTCCTGTAAAACATTGCGGAGAAACAGTGCACCCTTATGGGTGTGAATAAAATCTGCCTCATGTCAGGCCAGCTGTCTGATTGAGTCATCCACAAAGTGGTTTATTGTTTGTCGTTCTGGTGGTGTCTCCTGTGGTGTTGGTTTTTGTTAAAGACGGAGAGTTTGTGCAGCACTGTGCTTCACTGGCAGCACAGAAATACACGGCGCTCTCTGATCCACTCAGCTTCAGGAGAATCAGACTTGACTGATTTTTACCATCACCACTCACATTATACAAGCCTTTGAATTGATCTTCTACAGTTGCAGAAGAGTAACGTACATATCCAAGCAGAGCCATGTCATGTTTCCCTTTAGACTGTTTATACCACTGGATCATATCAAAGTTACTGTTTGAGTGGTTGCAGGTCAACTGGACTTTTTCTCCAGGGTGTATGACCAGCGCTGCAGGCTTCTGATCAACATGGCTCTTTGAGAGTTCTGAAAGAGACATTTAAAAAGAAGCAGCTTTAGCATTAAAAATAAACCTCAGTGAAAATATTATAGACCAGTTTTCACAAGTTTGCTCTTATATTACCTGTTAAACAGAACGTCAGAGCTAATATGAGGAGTCTGAACATGATCCTGACACTGATGAAAACTTCAGAAGAAAGATGTCAGTGAACTGGCTGCATGTAAAGGAGGAGCAGCACGGGGAGGAGGAGGGGGAGGGGTCGACACAATGAGCCACCACGTGTCTTTAAAAGGGGATTTGTTCTTGTTTTGTTGTCACAGTTTTGATTCCTTTATTAAAAAATATCTAAAACAGGACTAGAAAACGGCCGTGCCTCCCTGAAGTAATCTTTGTGTCAACATGTTGCCTCCTCAGAGTTGATGGTCTAACAGTAACATTATAATGAGAATGGGTGCGTTTACATGGAAGGTCGTGGGTTTGATCCCCAGCTTCTGTAGCCACATGTCTGATGTGTCCGAGGGCAAGACACACAAAGTTGCTCCCACTGCTTCGTCGTTGGCGTGTGAATGTGTTTGGATGTGATTGGTTACATCTGATGGTCAGCAGCCTCTGCTATGAACTTGAATATCCAGGTTTTGATCAGGTTTTTTTAAGTATACTGTTTTTTGTGTTTGTGCATGTAAACATCAGATCCTGATTTCAGGAACTGTGGATAAGCCCTTAACCGGATTTTAAGAAAGCCGGTTTTCCACCTGGAGAACTCAGAAAGAATCACACTGTGTCATCGTCTAACCCCGGTTTCTGACAGCTACCTACTACCTGCGCAGGCGCGGCCTCAGCCAAGTGACATATCAGCAAAACAAACATGGCGGTGGCAATGAGAGCGTCTCACTTCTGGAGAAGTGAGAGACTTCATTTTTGTCTTTCAGTAATAAAAGAATGAAATATGAATCAAAACGCTGAGTTTAAATTCTGTGGTGAGCAGGCTACAGGATGCAGTTGCTCCCTTGTCCTACGCGGTGGCAGAGACAGGCTGACACTGAGGTGACGAGGACATGTTTCATCTTTCCCAAATCAAGTTCAAAGAATCATTACAGTATCAGAAAGATCGACTGAAAACACGAGCCCGCAGACAGGGGAGCTAAAAAAAACACTATGTATTTATTGGCCTTTGAGAATTGCGCAGCAGTTTTTGGTTTGTTGGGGGGGGGGGATAATGGAACTGATAACTTTTACTATTTTTAAATACCGTGGGATACCTTATAACTGTATTACCACCCGAGCCGACATGTTTCCTGCCACAGCCTACGTGAGAGGAGTGAGATGCAGGTGTATCCCTCTTCTTATCTGTGAGTTCATTAGCTGATGATCACTGAGGGTTTTTGTAGAGAGGAGGAGGAGGTCGAGTTACTGTGTGTACTAGCTGCACAGTAATACATGCCGCTGTCTTCTGCCTGTCTGAGTTTCACTACATGAAGTTCTGATTTCTTCGAGCCATCTCCAGACACATTGAAACGTTCTCGGAATTTATCTTCAACGACTGCATTTGTGTACTGAATATATCCAATGAGGTTAAGGCTGGAGTTGCCTGTGGGCTGCTGGTACCACAGTATGACAATAAATGAACTTATAGTATGGCTGCAGCTGATAGTTGTTGAACCATCAGGACTTCCAAATATCGATGGAGGCTCTTGTTTGACGTCTTTGGCCTGTGACTGACCTGGATTCAGAGAGAAAAACTTTATAAGACAGAAGTGATGACACAGAATAATAATTATCAAACAGATTGAATATAAACCTACAGGAGATGCAGAGAAGCCACAGAATGATCCGGATCATTGTTCCTCCTCTCTGTGTCTGGTTTCAGCGACAGACTGAACTGACCTGAGAGGGGAGGAGTCGGGGGGGTAGCAGAGAGAATCACTCCCATGATTCCCCACCAACTTCATCTGTCTGTTATGGTTTTGATTAAGAGCCCCCTGGTGGTAGAATTGACATACTGTGCGTTTAAAACACTGAAACATACTAATGTCACTTTGCCTGATATTTATTAAATATTTGTTTTAAATGTGTTAAAAAGAGATTTTTATCTTTTTAAGTTTATTTTCAGGATGCGGTGATCTACTGTGAGATCTGAAATCACAGTTAATATAGAATACATGTGTCAATTTAAATAGATCATCATTACACCACTAGTGAGCAGTCACATGTGTGAGGCTATACAAAGTTATTTAACCACTGAACATTCACCACCACCAACACATTCACAATAAAATGTTACGTAACCCGAGGCTTTCCTCGGTCAGCTTCGAGCACTCGGCCGCTACGATAAGGACTACAGCCGCCGTACACGGGTGGGCGACATAACTGCTCGGCTACCCAGCGCCTCGGAAACTTTGATTTTAAAGGGCTGCTTAGGCAAACTCAAGAAGATTTAATTTAAAACAAATTGAAACATGATTGGAAACTTAATATGAAATGACTTGAGCTCTGAATTGGATTCTTCACATTTCAAGGACATAAATTCATAATATGATCGATACCTGTCATTGCACATTTTCTGGGACACTGATGGCTGTGAAAGAACTATTGTGCACCCAGAGCTCCCCCTATAGATAATCAAACACTGATGTCTTTAATACATGTATTCATCAGTGGGGTATTTGTACAGCTGTCAGAGTCACCTGCTTCACTGTGTTCACTCACAGCACAAAAATACACTCCACTGTCTGCAGGCAGCAGCTTCTCCACAGTCAAAGATCCAGTCGAGAAGTTGTCCTTCTTTGCAGGAAACTTGTCCTCACTGAAGTCAGACCAGTACTGAGGAGGGGCAGATGATGTCGTCAAAACGATTTGTTGCATTGTCTCTCCTGGCAGCTGTCTGTACCAGTACATCTGGAAATAAGTAGCACTTTAGTGTGCTCACAGGTCATTGTGGCAGACTGACCCTCGTCCCCCAGCACAGCGGCCTGTTTCACATCACTCCCGTCGATTACACCTGTGGAGGGGGAAAACAACATGTCAAAATGAAGGTCCTCTGTGTGATCAACAGTAAGTCCTCAGCCTCATAACGTAGAGTACCTGTGATGCAGAGCAGAGCTGCAGAGAGCTTGATCAGAACAGCTGTGATCATTGTTGTGTTCAGAGCTGAATGATCTGAGAGAGAAGAGTCTCTGACAGTCTGTGAGGTGGGAGGTGTGAGCCTAGAGACCAAAGATGGCAGCACCTACAATCAGCTGTCACTCATGGGAGTGTCACTCCATTAGGTGAACCGGTCCAAAGTTACTACTCATTATGAAAAAAAACCCTGATTCTGATGACATTCAATTCAGGAGCCTGCGATCAATCTGAATCCTTTTTCACACTCCTGCTGAATATTTCCAGAAAATAGAGAGTCCGCCCCTGAAATCCTCTGGGTTTCCTGTTCACATACATGCACTTCACAGCAAGAGATTCTCCCTGTCTGACGAGGGGTAACGTGAGGAGGCAGGACATGACGTTTGAAAGACGCAAAAATGGTGTACGAAGCGTCAGAGCCTGATGATATGACGACGTTTGTATCTTTATATCAATGCTGCGTTTAATTGGACGTATTCATAGTGTAATGGTAATTTTCCAATTTTTTCCTTTGCTCCAATTATTGCCATTAATACACAGGTAGGGGTGAAGTCTTACGCAGATGCAAACAATGATTTTCCAGCCGTTATTAAAGTTGAGTTTATTGAAGTGACTTGATGGAGATATGAGAACAAAAAACATACCATTTCCAGTGAAGCGTAGCCAGTAGAATGAATGAATTGTAGTTGGTCTGAGTGCTGGTCTGAAACATGAATTCCGGTCTGGTGAGAACTGTCTTTGCTCCCCGTACCTGTGCCTTCCCTTTCCTGTCACCTGTGCTACTATATATATACACCCCTGTGCATTCAGTGTCCCTAGTGGAAAATAATATATTCAGATAAATCTAATTATAAAACATGCCAATGATAAACACAAAATGGCTCCTACACATAGTATCAGAAAACAGTGTGACTGGTTGTTTGACCTGAACGTCAGAGATCACATGTTATATCCTGAATAATATCCGATGCTTTCAAATATGGACGTGACCAGACTTCACACGGACATTTTAGTAGGGGGCTTGCAGGATGAATTCTGGGTAATATCAGGATGAAGTTGGCTGTCGGCGTTCACACATGCAGGTCACTCAGAACATTTCAGGAATGTTTGTGCACGTGTTGAAACACCTTTATCGACACATCATCATGAACAAAATTTACAGTTTCATTTATTTCAACTCACAAAAAAATCCAAAAACAGGAATCAGATAATTTCATAACGAGACTCTCTGACATTAAAATGGAAAAAAAAACAGACTCTGTTGTGTTCATTATGAAGCGCTGCATTTTATATCTTTGATTTAAAAACTTGTGTTAGCAACAAGGTCATGTTTTTTTAGGTGCATTGAGTTACTGACAGAACTCAACTGTGCAGAAAGCATGGAAACACCCCTTTGCATAACATTTATTTTTACACATCCACACCAACATCCCGGGTTCCTCTTCAGCCCAATAACTCAGGAAAGTCTGGAGAACCTTTAGATTTGTTTCATATGTCAACTTTGACTCGAGGATATAATAATGATTAATAATTTGGTGACCTGTGATCTCTCAGAAAATGGTTTGGACATAACAGAAATCAGAAGCTTATTGAGATACGTTTCACACAAAAGGTCTTAGTATAAAATGATTAAATGACGTCAATCTTAACCAGGAAGTTTCACTTTGTTGTGACGTCATTGTTCGTTTCTCAGTTCACCTGCTGTCAGTACTTGTCCTCAGACGAGGTACAAACTGAGTGAGAGGTTGATAAAACCTCAAAGATGGTGGTTCAGATCTTTGTGTGGACTGCAGGTGTCGATGAGCCTGAACGTGTTGTGAGTCTGCAGACAGAGAAAGGGGAGTTCTTGTACTGACTGCACACAAATCTGCAGCACTGTGTCGACTAGCAGCACAGAAATAAACGCCACTGTCAGTTAAGGAAAGGTTAGAAACAGAGAGGCTCGACTTTTCCCGTCCATCTCCGTCAAAGTTGATCTTTCCTTTCACGTCCGGCTCCAGATTCACATGCTGAACATTGAGAACTCCCAGAAGCTTCAGCGCTCTGTGTGCGTCTTGTTTGTACCAGAGAATACGATCATAATTTGTTATATTGTGGGAACATTTGATTTCTCCGGTCACTGATTCGTTGATCCTCTTAAAGATGGAAGGAGGTGTTTGGTTGACATCGTTGGAATGAGAGACACCTGTGGAGTTAAAACACATTTTAGATACTGAAGACGTTTACTGTGCAGCTTTTTACTTCCTTTACTTTGTTTGCATGCTTCCTCACCTTTAACACTCGGATGATGACTGAAGCAAATAATGAACAGTATTAACATCATGTTGTTTCCTCTTTAAGTCTGTTTAGTCTGTGTGAGAGCATCAGAGCACCTCACTGTGACGGAGAGGAACGGGGGGCGTTGTCAGAAACCTTCACAGCTAACTGTCTCAGCAGGAGTCACACTGTTGATGTTTCCTCAGCAGAAGGTGTTCCAGTGTTTGGCTTGTTAAAGTATGTCTCCCTCTGCTGGTGTTAAAACGAAACTGCGGTTGCTTTCAGTGAGCAAAGGATGTGTGACGCTGAATCAGAGTGGGGCTGAACGATGTTGGATCAAAAGTTATATTGCAATATATTTCATTTCTGCTGTCAGTGTTTCCTCCATGTTGATAACTTTTGCCTCTTCTTCCTGCAGGTTCAGTCTTTCCTGAATCGTCTCCGTCCGGCCTGTTGGCATGCTCGTCAGCACGCTCAGCTGACAGCCTCGATTAGCCACTTCAGATCATCTCCATTTTCAATAAATACCTGCCTGCCCTAATACCTGTCCGTGTCTGGGTCCCTTAACACACATGTTACATCATTCAGTCCCGTTAATCTACATCACTCAACACGTGCTTCAGATGAGTCTTCAGGATATTAATGCTCCACATGTATCAGCCACAGTCCAGCTCATTACTGTGGATGTACTACAATGATAGACTGTATATTTAAACGGACAAAGCCTGAGTGAGGTCACCCATCTGTTCCTGCAGGGGGCGTGTTTAGAAAGGTGCTATAAATAAAGTTTTATATTATAATATATATTATTAAATATTTCCCTCTGTTGTCTTTGCTGTAAAGTTACACCTCTATGTTCAAACATTATTGTAACATTATATTTCTGTGCTGTTTTAATCTGTATAATTTTAAGACTATTAATAAACTTTAGAAGAAAAAAAAAACTCCCTCCTTTGTTAGAAGCGCCTCGTCGCGTAGCAACCGCGTGCTGGCGTTGCCATGGCAGCGCATGTTTTCAGAGCGCAGCACAGTTTTAATCGCTAATTTGAGTTCAAGCTGCCTACAAAGGGTGAAACCTTCCCCGCCGGTCTGTCCGTGTTATCTCCTCAGAACACACGATGGTGAGTAAAGTTTATATTTTAGTTTAATTATTAACATGAGATTTAAAAACGCTATTAACCGTGAGAAGCTAACGTTAGCTGTTAGCCACACCGCAGCTAACGCCTCATTAGTGTTAAACTCTAATGTTTGTATCCTCATTTGTTCCTTTCTATGAGTCATTATCACATTAAAGAGAGACACACACTGAGGCCACATGCTCTCATCATGTTATAGAAACAGACAGCTAGTAAGAAGCGAAACACTTTTGTAGTTTTAATTTTGTTGACTTTTTAACAGCCACCCAAAAAGAAAGGCTCGAGTAAGAAGCCTCCAAAGGTGAAGACGCCCCCCCTGATAGACGGCCTCACCAAGGACGAGATGAGCAAGGAGCAGGTCACAGAGTCTCAATGAGGGGGGTGATGTGGGGGGGTTTAGCTCAGGGGGCAGTGGGGGGGTGGTCTCCTAAAGAACTGCTGGTTTTTAATTTAATTTGCCCGTCCAGCAGAGGATAAACATTCTGTTCAGAACATTTCAGCAGCAAGCCCGCAAAGTGATTCACTCAAGACACCAAAAGCTAACATTATATCTAATATGCACTCCTTGATATTTATTTATTGCACTTAATTTACCAAAGACGATGATAAATGATAGATATTTTATTGATCCTGAGGGAAATTTAAAGCGACCAGTAGCAGCTCAGAAGCCACACATGACATGGAACATTTGTTACATCTTACAACACCCGCTGTCCCCCCTATAAAGATTTAAAGAAACCCCCACAGAGGCACTTTTTTCAATATATTATTTGTCAAGAAAAAACATTTAAGTGGGACACTAGAAGCTGTCTCTTTATGAAATATATGTGCAGCTGAAGAGTGAAAACTAGTCCAGGTTTGCTTTCCGCCTGGGCCACAGAAGAAATGTTGTAGAAAGACTGATTAAAACCCCAGGAGAACAGTGAATTGATTTTGATGTGTAAATAAATGTCAAGTGCTCCCCTAAAGAAATCTAGATTAAAATCTGAGGCGGTGGCTCTCAGTTTTTCAAAGCTTCAGGACGTGTGTGGTTTCTATAATCAGATGTGAAAAGGCTGAAATGTGTCTCTGTATGTCAGCTGGAGGAGCACATCGTCCGCCTGCGAGAGGAGCTGGATCGAGAACAGGAGGAGAGGAACTACTTTCAGCTGGAGAGGGACAAGATCCATACGTTTGGGGGGATCAAAGAGAGACAGGTGGAGGTGGCCGTTGCTGAGCAGAGGAACTCAGAGAAGGAGATAGAGGAGGGCGCGAGGCAACACCAAGTGGAGATCAAGGTGAGGTCATCTTCCACTGTCAGGTTAATATGGAAAAGAAGATGAAGTGTTTATTAACATGTGATTATGTCGTCCTCTCCAGGTGAACAAGCAGAAAATGAAACACCTCCTGTGTGAACATCAGAACACCATTTCTGAGTTAAAGGCCGACGCTTTAGTCTCCACGGACGCCGTGCACGCAGATCAAGAACGAGTGGAGGCGGAGCTGCACGAGGCGATGAGTGACATCATGGTGGACACGCAGGAGCTCGACATCACCGACCTGGTGAAGGAGCTCCAGCTGGTTTGTCGTCCAAACATATTCTCTCTACATTTCTACACCGTGAGATGTTTCACGCTGCAGTGATACAAACACGACTTTTCTTATCCCGAACAGAAACACGATGAAGAAATGAACCAAACAAAGAGCCGCTGTGAGAAGAAACTGAAGGGTAAGTACAGAGATCTCACATGGAGTAACATCTCACTCACTCCTCATTTAATGGGACTGTAGTCATTTCTGTTTTTGTGCTCTTTGGCTAGACGCTGAAGCTAAGTATGATAAAAACATGGAGCTGCATCTTCAAGAGCTGGACAACCTGATGAAGAAAGAAGTGACCGAGCGAGAAGATCACTGGAACCGCTACAGCTCCAACCTCGCAGAAGACCACAGAGAAGCTGTCGGCAAGATGAATTCTCTCATCAACACGTTGGTTGTTGACGTCACAATCAAGGTATAAACATCACGCTGACGCCATCGAACTACTAACAACAATCTGATCATTTATTAAGTCGCTCAAATAGTTTAAAGACGCTCACTGAAACGTCCCACAGCCTCACACCTTGTGTCCACTGAGCGTTTTCTCCAGGCTGTAAAGCGCTGGCGAGCGCTGCAAGTCCTGTTTCTATGACAACGGTCTGTTGACAACAGCAGCTGTTTGACCGACTCTGCGTCACGTTACTTTTTACTGAATGTTTTATATTTGAGATCGTTTCTTTCCCCGATCAGACACGGAGCGAGGACGATGAGGGGACAAGACACGATCAGTATGCAAAACTATATGGGAAATATCAAAAGAGAAAAGAGCGCCGGTGACGTCAACAGCGCCTTTCTGAAAAGTTGAAAGATTTTCAGCTTCAGCGTTCAGAGCGGCCACACAAAAAAGGAGGAACGCTCAGGAAAAAAGACGCTGCGCTTTTTCTCAAGGCGTCCACCTGCTGCTGCAAACGCTCTACACATTGAAAACAATTAGAAAAAAGACAAAAACTCCAGGTGGACCCGGGGCCTGAGCTGGTGTCTTTAAAACGCTTCTGTTGCATTGTGGTTGTTTCTGTGGAGCAGGACGCATTCAGCACTACCTCTGACCCGTTCTGTTCTGATCGCCTCGTTTAAGACAGAAAAAGAAGAAATGAAGGACGAGATAAAGGTGAGGGAGAAGGACCTGCTCCATGTTCTGCAGGATAACAAACATCTCAACGAGTGTCTCTCCAAAGCCAACGAGGAGGAGACCCCCATCAAAAAGAAAATGGTCTTCCCTGTGAAAAAGGTTTTTTTTTTTTTGTTCTCATGAGGATGATTGATTTAGTGAACAGGATGAGGAAGCTGTTGCATGTGTCTCTACAACCTGACATGTCACATTATGTTAACGGACACAGGCTGATTTTAGAAACGCTGTTTTTGACAGAACGACTCAGAGAAGCTCCGACTGAAGGAGCTGAGCGACCTGAAAGAGGATCACGAGGAGCTGAAACAGATATTCAGCAAAGTAAGAGAGCTGCAAAGTGTCGTCCAGCTTTCTGAACCTGAGAGTGTTTGTGTTCATGTTTCTCCTGTTTCCATGTCTCACAGCTTCAGATGGAGAGAGACGAGCTGTACAAGACACAGTATATACGGGACGTGCAGCAGAAGGGCGGTTTGAAAGACGAGCAGCTGGAGAATGTTCTGAAGGGCCTGACGGACGTTCTGGAGAAGACTCAGGCTCAGATCGACTCGGTGCTCTCGGCCTCTAACGTGGACCAAACGGCCCTGAGAGGAGTCATGGACCAAGTTGAGGTTTGTTTAAATTCACTCTATTGTTTTCTAAGCGACAGGAGCCGTTTAGAACGACGTCATATAGCGGTCCACTTCCTTGTTTGAGCGGTTGTGTTCACATCTCGCAGACCGTTTTCAAGTACACAATGGTAAGCCCAGTTCTGCAAATTCATCCCATTTATAAAAAGGGACTCCAGGCTGGTAGCACGGGTTTTTCATGTTTCACTGAAGGTTTATCAAAAAGAACAGAACATAGATATCGACAAGAAATTGTGTTTTTCTTATAGTTTGCACTGCTCCTTTAGTCGGTCTGAATGCTAAAATCGTCTGTAAATTCACATTTTAAAGCTGATATTTAAAAAACATCTTCTAACCCCCGGACCCCACTAGGGGGTTTGGATCCATCTCACATTTTTCACCCCTGATAAGTTTGCACCCCTGACACATGAATCCTACCTGAGACCACCTCTTCAAGCAGACTCGGGCACACTACCCGATACAGTCCAAGTACAGATAAATAAGAGTGTGTTGTTGTTTGAATCAGAGGAACCAGTCAGATGAATCAGGACAAACTGTATCAGCTGTGATGTTACCTACCGTGTAAAGAACCCTCACTGAGGCGGAGGGATACACATTGTGAAAAGTCCCACCTATATCTCATGGATCTCGTCCAATCAGGATGCTCTGTGGGAACTAACAGTTGTCTGATCACATTCTTCTTCTCTTATCTGACATTAAAACTGTTTCTGATTTCAGGAAAACCTCGACCGCAGTAAGAATTCCCTCGAGGACTTGCGTCATGAAAGAGCTCTGATTTCTAAGGCAGGTGTCTCGTTGACGTCCTGAGAAGTTCTGCTGTGTATTCAATGAGCTGCTGCTGCTGCTGCTGCTGCTGTTGTTTCTGATGCTAATAATTCTGTGTGTCACGCAGGCCTGTACGGATTTACTGCTGCACAACGAAGCCAAGCAAAGAGGTGTGGGCGTGTCCATCCAGGTGCTCTGAAGAACCCTCTGGAAACAGTCTGAAATGAAAACACTGAATCAAAGAACTGAATCATTCACACTCACCTTCATAAACACATCAGAGTTTTTCATTCTCCTATTCTCATTTAATACAAATGTGGAGCTGCAGTTCCTCAAATCTCCACTAGAGGCTGGGTCCAAAAGTGAGTCAGTCCCTGCTCATCCCATCACAAAAGTTGAATGAATACATTACTGTGCAGCACCTGTGAAACATGGAGGGAGTTCCTCTTTCATACTCTGGGCTCACACTGCCCTCTAGAGGCAGAAATGAGAAACTACAGAGTCAGAGAAGTTCAGAAAGGTTCTCCTGCTGACTCAAACAGTGAAACACATAAAAAACATTAAAACATTTTATTTAAAACTGAAAGTACTTCAGCCGGTGTGAACGCTGCACTCTGTCTCTAACGATCCTCCAGAGAGATTATTTACATGTGTGTGTCTGTATATCATTTAGGATTTAGATTTAAAAAACACAGATATGAATGTGATTTTAAAGAAGCATGACTAAATGTTTGGTTATCACTTCTATCTGAACCACTTCTCGCTCCCGCTTCCATCACTGAAGCTTCAGTGTCCACCACATGACAACCTGTGTGAGCATCGATTCTAGAGAGGAGGGGGGAACAGCTCTTTATCATGTTTAGAATCTGAACTGCAGTACCGGTTTTAAACACTAGGTGTCAGAGTTACAGACTGCTCCTTTGAAGAAGATCAAATGCAAAAATCCCAGAATGAAAAAGAACTTGAATATCGGACTCAGTGTTTCTTAATCTGCTGGTTAATGTAGACGAAGCTTAAAGATCTTTTTGATCCATAATTCATTTTAAAAAAAGAGTTTGCAGGAGGAGATATAATTATGTAGCTCACAGATGTTAGACCGCACACACACACACACACACACACACACACACACACACACACACACACACACACACACACACACACACACACACACACACACACACACACACACACACACACACACACACACACACGGACGCTTTCCTGTTTGTGTGACACCAGCAAGCACAAACATAATTTTTTTTAAAGAGACTGAAGGTAGAAAGTAGAAACTAAAGAGTCTCTTTACTGATCAAATATCTACAGAAACTTAAAATTAATTTAAGCATTCACAGAGAGGATAGATAAAGATATGACGTTAAGTTTTGTGTTATTTATCCATATTTTCTTTATTGATGTAAATATTTAGACCCTCATCACATCAGATGGTGAACAGCTGTGAGGGAGCTTTAGGACTCTTTTCATGGTGTAGCTTCAGTTGACACAGAAATGGAAGTTTAGCAGCTGCTAGGTCAGAGACGTGTGTGTGTGTGTGTGTGTGTGTGTGTGTGTGTGTGTGTGTGTGTGTGTGTGTGTGTGTGTGTGTGTGTGTGTGTGTGTGTGTGTGTGTGTGTGTGTGTGTGTGTGTGTGTGTGTAGCTGCAGGTGTGTGTGGTGAGCACACAGAGAGATGTGCTCTCTGCTCTGTGACCACATCCTCTCCTCTCTGCTCGTCTGCAGCTTTCACGTCTCTGACACAACACACACTTCCTGTTGTTCTGTGCTACGCTCACAGACACACACACACACACACACACACACACGTGTACTTCTTACTGAACCAGTCTGAACCAACGGAAATACTTTTTTTACTCTTCATCAGATGTAAACTGTCATCAGATTCTTCTTTTGTTCAAAGTGTAAAAAGAATCAGAACGGAGAAACTTGAGTCTTCAAAGTTCTTAAAGCGTCTGAACGCCGGCTCAGGTCTTAATTAATCTAAGCAGCAATAAGGACGATAACAGGTCATCAAGACCTGCTTCATAATGAACAGGGTAGTGGAGCTGCGTTCATGTGGTATCGGACACCTCGGAAAAACGATTTTCCTCGTGGGAAAATGAGAACGCCTGCTCAAGTCGGAACAACGACTCAGTGTCCGACTTTATTAGTGATCATGTTAAGATACTTTTTATTTGTAAAGATTTATTTTTGGGCTTCTTGTGTCTTTAATGGAGAGATAGGACAGTGGATAGAGTTGGAAATCAGGGAGAGAGAGAGAGGGGGGATCAACATGCGGGAGGGGAGCCACAGGTGGGATTTGAACCTGGGCCGCCCGCCTGGAGGACCACAGCCTCCATTCACGGGGCGCACGCACTAACCACTGGACCACCAGCGCCCTGATGTTAATATACTTTTAATGATTTCACATATTGCACATTCATTTGATTGAACTGAACTCAGAAACTGAAGTTAACTTCTTCAACATTTTCTGACTCAAACTTGAAGTTTCCTGAGCGTGTTTCAGCTTCATGTGGGGGAGAAATAACATTTCTGAGAAAAGATGCAGATAAAGCGAGCAGCTAAAAATACCTCCCACTGTGGAAACATGAGGCTGAGTGTGGGAGGAGGAAAGGTTTCTTTCTGCAGTCATGACGACAGGAACTTGTTTTGTCTTCATTTTTTTAGATTTGTTTGAGACGATCAAATGAAAGAAATCTCTTCACCTGTTTGGTGTTTAAAGTCCTACATGAGCCGACTGAATGATGAGCGTATATCAAACAGAAAGCTGCTGTGAGAGACCGGGAGGTTCCCCTCAGACGGTCCACGTTTAGTCCTTCAAAGGGAGCACATGATGGAACAGCTGGCTCCAGCTCTGACACATTCAGGGGTCACCTGAAGCTGAGGCTCAGAACAAAGCAGACCTGAGAGCACGTTGAAAAGTCTGTCTTACATTATGCCAACATACAAACTGTGAAGCTAACCTCAGTACAATAACACTGGAGTAACAGTAATTACACCAGAGCTTTATAATCATGTGCAAAACTCTTTTCACAGTAAATAAAGACTTTTATTTTGTTAATTTAAGGAGGATTTAAGGTTAAGCTTTGACAAACAAAATGATTCTTATATTCATAAATATTTCGTAAACTTCGACACAGTAACAACATTTACTGTTTACTTTATTTTTGGAGCAGGAAACAGGAAGAATGAACTTTGCAATTTCAAAATTAAAGCTCTGTATGTTTAAGTTTCAGCCAACAAAACTTGAAAGAAAGGAACTGTTTTTGCTGTGACAGAAGCTAACCGAGCTAGTGTTGCTAACATCCACGTCTGTTTACCCCTTTAGATCTTGTTGCAGAAACCTGGACTCTGAAGGTCTCTGTATCCTGGTGTGTTTTTAACAACATCACTCAGACACTTATGAAGCTCGTATATCTGTGTCTCTGTCAGCTGACGTTCACTTCATGTTGTTTGGTCGTTACTTGTCGTTATTTTTCTGTACTTTTGTATTTTTGTGAACCACCAACCTGCCGAGGGACTTCAGATGGAAATCAGCCTGAGGCTACAATCTGTCATATTCACATGTTTATGAGCACTCTCCATATTTTAAATAAATACATAAAACACTCAGATTAAAGCTTAAAAGGAAAATAAAAACAACCAATCAGATCGTCTCACAAACGTTTATTCAAAAGAAACAGATTCAGTCATGAACTCAAACAAAGAAGAAGAAGTGAAAGTAACACAGTGAGCTCATAGAAGCTTTTATCAGCTTTATAGAAAACGTTCTGTACACGGTCAAAGTTAATCTCTCCGAGTCGACGCTTCAGACTTCAGATCAGCTCTCAGTTCTTCTGTTTCCCGTCTGCAGCCTGAGAGCGACAGAAAGGAAAACACATCACTTTTTATTCACTCTTAAAGACAGAATGATCGACATGTGACACATGAATAAATCATAAAGTCTGTCCTGTGTAAATGTGTCTCTGAGTCCTGTCTGTCTACAATGAGGGAGAAGCTCGAGTCCCGCTGCCTCCTGTGGAGGTGTGTCTCTGGAGGAGAACGGAGGATGGAGGAGGCGTGGCCTAAAAGCGCGTTGTTTTTTGTTTCATGCTGGTGCTCGAGGGCGCCACATTCTCTCTTTAAAGAAAGACTTTTTATTGAAAGGAAACGACAGTCGAGTCGTTGAGTTGGAACAAACCTGAAACTTGAGCAGCAGAAAAGCGAGGAAGGCTCCGTAGAAACAGCTCTTCACGATGAACACGCTGTACGTCAGTTTGGCGCTCTGCGTGACCTTCAGATATTTGTCTGCAAGAGTTCAAACATGGAGATGAGTGACAGGAAGCAAAACACAAACAAACTCATGATCTTAGTTTCATACGGAAGCCCTGAGAGGACAATCATCTTTACATTTAATTTACTCTCCTACTGATCTGTTTTATCACCGTGAATAATTCATCATCATCTGCACCGTAGATAGTGGTGACCTTATGACATCACACATTGACCTTATGACATCACACATTGACCTCATGACATCACACATTGACCTTTGAGCTGTTTGACCTCACTTTGGGATCCCTAACCACTTCCTGTTTGTGGTACCACTTACTTAATTTCAAAATAAAAGCACACAGCAAGTAAAGCACTCTCAGCTAAAGACAGTTCAAACATTCAGAATAAAAGCCTCAAAAAAAGTTTGTAAACGTTATTTTGGTCAATTATTTGGCACCTTTAATAATACTAATTGGTGTTGTAGTTTATATCATTGGAAACCCTGATTAGTCACCTTTACAACGAGGTATAACTTGTAAGGATTGTGCATTTGTGGAATGAGCAACACAGCTAAACGTATGAGTAGCACCCCAAAAAAATGTGCCAAAATCCCCTGCAATGTTCTGTTGGTATTCACTTTTTCTGAGCAGTTTATTTTATTTTAAAATGAAGAATAATGGAGTTTTAAACATGATACCACCTCTGAAGACGGTACAGAGGTGGGTTCACTTCGTCCCCTCATTACGCCTCAACGACATTCAGATAGAAGGGGACCTGTCTCAGCAGCGTAAATACCACGGCTTGAAACGGCGCCTTAATTAGGGCTTATGTTTGTTTTGTGATTCTGCAGCTGTGGGGTTAAATAAGATGTCATGAGGGGAGAAAAGGGAATGATCTTAAATATACATAAAGATGCATGTCTGCTGACGGCTTCTACAACAAATCAATTCTTCTGATATCGATAAATGTGGACGTTTACCTCTGGTGATGGTTTTTCTTTCAGCTGTTAGGAGAAAAGAGACGAGAATCAGATGAGGAAACATGTCGCTGTGTTTGTTTTTCTAACAGATGAAGAATCAGATTATTACCTTCTATTCCTTTAACTGAAGCAGAGTAAGGGACCGTTTTGTCCCCGTCAAAGAAGCGGACGGTGCAGGTGAATTCATTGTCAGGATTGTTCCACTCTTCAGCAGAGACCCTCAGCCTGCTGCTCATCATGTAGGTCTTTCCTTCTTCCAGCACGGCCTCGCTGTCCGTCGCCACACCTGAGCTGACCTCGCCCTCTTTGTCGGTCCAGGAGAAGCTGACATGATCCGGGTAGAATCCACTGGCCACACAAACGATGGTCTTACTCTGGTGTCCACACTCCTTTGGAGAAGCTGGGAGAACTCTGACTGTCGGTGGAGTGACGTCATGTTCTGCAAAACACAGAGGACAGAAATCAGCAAGTTAAAGCTGCAGACGGATCCACAACAAACCTCAAGAGTCACACCTCACTCCAGTGTTTCATCTGAGGTCTTCAGAGCCGAGTGAGGACGTGAACATCAGGGTACAGAAAGACACAGAATCACAGAAAGACACAGAATCACTCTGACTCAAACATGATGCTCACAGTGAGCAGATCTCACACTCACAGGGATTTAAACAGATTCTTTAAAGTAAAGCTGCAGATAGATCTACATGAACAAACTTCAAATACATAAATGTAATGTTCCAGTGAACACTCAGACATGAGGGGACATAAAGACCAGAATGAAACCTGATCATGGCAGGTTTGTTCACTTCATGTTTTGCTCTTAAACTTAAAAAAAAACAAACAGTGACATCATGATGTTTTTGTTCTGAGCTTCACACAGGTCCACGTCTCGGTGAGCGGATAAACACTCGGTTTTAAAAACGTGTTCTCAGAGATCTGACCCCGAACTGTGAGTCTGTTTCCTTTAACGAGTAAGCAGGAAAAGAGCTCGAGCCCACCGACAACTGGAGGGTCAGAAACAGACTTCAGAGGCTGAGTGAAGGCGGCATGTTTAAAGTTTCAAACACAATCCACAACCTGAACCCTCCTACTGATTCCTGATGTTTTTACTCTTCTCTGTTTATTTAGATTCATCCATCATGAATACTTTCAGTGCAACCTGCAGACTTCAGTCCAACAGAAACACCATCTGACTCCTTCAAATCAAACTGACAGCAGACCCGGAGTGCAACAAAAAATATGAATTTATAAGAAAACAAGACGCCCGGTCTGCAGGAAATCTAAACATCTACTTCTTACTAAATCCATTTTAAAAATGTCTTGCCGTCAAACACAAACAGAAAACGTCAAAGCATCAGTTCCACAGACATCCTGATTTCTTCAATCTTTAGCTCAACGATCATTTAACAGATCCAGGGTGAAAAACAACACTTTGAACCGTCTCTTACCTAAAACGCTGAGTTTAGTTCCAGCTCCAAAGTAAGCAGCATCGAGGTTGTTCACACTGAAACAGAGCTGCAGAGAAACTGCTCGACCTCTGAGCTGCACAAACTTCTTAATTTAAGATCCTTTTAAGAGAATGAGATCAGAACCGACCTTTGACCCTGACCTGGACCAGTTACAGACTTTAGTTTGATGATATATTCTGTTGTTTTTAAGTCGTCTTACCTAAAACGCTGAGTTTAGTTCCAGCTCCAAAGTAAGCAGGATCGTTGTAGTTCACACTGAAACAGAGCTGCAGAAAAACCTCCTCGACCTCTGAGCTGCACGCCGTCTCTGACATTAAACTTCTGATTTAAGGTTCATCTCAGACTATTAGATCCAGATCCGACCTTTGACCCTGACCTGGACCAGTTACAGACTTTAGTTTGATGATATATTCTGTAGTTTTTGTGATGCTCTTACCTAAAACGCTGAGTTTAGTTCCAGCTCCAAAGTAAGCAGGATCGTAGTTCACACTGAAACAGAGCTGCAGAAAAACCTCCTCGACCTCTGAGCTGCACGCCGTCTCTGACATTAAACTTCTGATTTAAGATCCTTTAGGAGCATGAGATCAGATCCGACCTTTGACCCTGACCTGGAGGAGTTACAGACTTGATGATATATTCTGTCCTGTTTCTAGTCGTCTTACCTAAAACACTGAGTCTGGTTCCCGCTCCAAAGTGAGCCTCTGCCTGGTAGCTCACAGCGTTTCACAGAGCTGATAAGAACTCTGTGTGAGAGGAATAATCCGGGCTCACAGCCAAATGTTTGATTTATGCTCTCAACGTTTACAGCAGAACAAAACGCCATGCTGCTTTTTTGACATGAACACACAGTGAGCAGAAAGTCCTTCACATGTTTGAAAAAGAGAGGACTCTGTTCATGGTCACACACGAGCTCTAACAGTACACTTATTAAAGCATCTTAATGAGGAAACCTGGAGAGAACCAGTGAGTTCTGCTCTGTTTGAGGCTTTTCTTACCTAAAACAGAGAGTTTAGTTCCAGCTCCAAAGTAAGCCTCGCTGTAGGAGCACAGAGACTTTCCACCCTCACAAAAACTCTCTTTGTCTTCATCTGGAGCTCGCTGAATCTAAACTCTGCTCGTTCTTTAAACGTTAAGACTTTAATCTCCCTTCACTTAACGTCACCTTCTGACCATCTAGATGATTCCTTTGACTTCTCTCATGATCATAAAGACTTTAAAAGATTTCAATCTGATTGACCTGCTGATGATGACGAGTCAGACAAACTCCCTCTTCATGTAGTTACCTGTTTAACTTCTCTGTTCACTTATCCATTAAATATGCTGGACAGGCCTCCAGCTCTCGTTCTAAGTGTGCGACAGGTGAAGTTTTCTGATCCCATCTCGTCCCTTTACTCACCAAGAACCGTCACTTTAGTCCCCGGGCCGAAGTACGCCTCTGACTGACTGACACAGCGTTCAAGGTGAATGTCAAAAAGCTGCGAGCTGACACTGAACGAGTTTGTTCTGCAGACTTTCATCACAGACTGTTCATGTTAAGAATGAGTTCCTTACCTAAAACAGTGACCCGTGTCCCTCCACCAAAGTGAGCCTCTGAAGAACCAGAGTCACAGTGAAGTCGTCTGTGACTCAAAACAAACCAGACGCTGCTCCCTCCTCTCGTCTAGTTCAAATCTCACAAATGTTTCAATGCAAAGGAAGCAGCTCTCAAAGATCCTCTTCAAAAACCAAAACACGGCTCTACTTTTACTCGGTTTAACTTCTTTTATGAGCTGAATTCAACAGTCTTACTCACCGAGAACAGTCAGTTTAGTTCCTGCACCGAAGTACGCTTCGTAATTAGCACAGCGCTGAAGCTTCATGTCAAAAAGCTCTGAGCTGAACTGATAATAACCCAAACATATCAGGATCCTGAGAACGTCTCATCACGTTTATCTTTGTACATTTATAAAGATCTGACTCACCTAAAACAGTCAGTTTAGTCCCGGGCCGAAGTACGCCTCGTTGTTGACACAGTGCTGAATCTTAACGTCAAAAAGCTCCGAGCTGACACTGACCTTTGACTGGTGTCTCTCTGTAAGTTTGATCTGCAGACTGTGTTTGCAGAAAGCTTCTCTTACCTAAAACATTTGTAACATCTGAATCATCCCAGACTCACCTAAAACAGTCAGTTTAGTCCCCGGGCCGAAGTACGCCTCGTTAGCGTTGTCACAGTGCAGAAACACTGAGCATCAAACTCTTCTTTCTTTCTCTGCCACACTAATCTGTAAGAAGCTTTGTCTCATATTTCCATCTATACTGAGTCTCTGCAGCAACATGAAATCCATCATAAGAGAGTGAAACACTGAAATATTTACCTAAAACTGAGAGTTTGGTTCCTGGGCCAAAGTAAGCAGGTTCAGTGTAGCTCACAGTGTCTCTGTTCAGCTCAATAATTCAGACTCTTCACTACAACATGTTTTGTCTTTGACTTGAAAACAACTTGTTCACTAGTTGAAGTCTGTTTAAGTGAACGTCAGTGATTAAAGCTCCAACTTACCCAGAACTGTGAGTCGTGTTCCCTCTCCAAAGTGAGCTTCAGTTCCAGTGTCACACTGAAAGTCTCCTCCAACAAAAAGTCACAAAGGTCCCAGAATGTGCACGATGTCGCTCAGAGTGATGATCCAGAGGATGAAGGAGGTTTAAACATGCAGGATAAGCTTCAGAGAGTTACATGAGTGTTGTTGTTTCTGAAGAGCAGAGAAAGAAAGATCCAGACTGTGAACATGTGAACTTAAAGATGTTAGAACACCTTTTCCTGCAGGTTTCCTCTATATGAATGCACGCTGTGCTGCTAAAGCCTCTGTCCTCTTGTCCACCTCCAGATTTCATGTGTTTCTGCTCTCCTGCAGCACGCAGCAGTCTGCTCACTGTGTGTTCATGGGAGGAGGTTTTTGTACGGCGGCTCCATAGGAATGTATCACCGTGGCTCCCTGTCCCCGGTGAGAAAGCATCATACAAAACTCCAGCGTGTTAGTTTCTGTGCTCCTCCGTATCTCAGCCTCCATCTCGGTGAGCCTGGGAGAGCAGCTGTGCAGCTCTGCTGAGAGACGACGAGCGGCTGCTGCTATTTCTGTGACAGCTAAGAAAGAAGCTGAGGGAAGGAAGAGAGGAAACTGATGTTTGTTAGATTATCAGTGCTCAGAGGGAGGGACGCCTCTGCTGGTCACACCTCTTCACACAAACTGTCAGCTGTGAAGGAGGAAGACGGTTATTTCATGAGAATCACAATGAAGAGAACGATTCAGTTCAATTCAAAAAACTTTATTTTTCCCCGGGGGCAATTCAAAGTCACACAGAGCAGTAAATTAACAACAGTGCAGGTAGACGAAACATTTTAAAACTAAAATATAAAGTGTCAATTTAAATACAACTTAAAGCTTAAACTTAACTTAAAATACAAATATAAAAAGAGTAGATATAAGTGGACCGTGATTGGACTAACAGATGTAAACAGAACTAAATATATATATATATATATACCGAGCTATGTGCGAGTAGGTTGTGATTACATGACCCTCCACTTTGTGTCACAGTTTGGTGTCTTTGAGCTTTTTGTTTTTATGCCACCTCTCTGATTATTTTTTGTTTTCAGCAGCAGGTCGCTGTTTTCAGAGATTTAACATTTTGAAGGATGCATTACTCTATGTTTTTGCAGAAAACTGATCCCTGATATACATCAATTTATTACTCTGATGTACAGACATGCAGCTCTCTCTGCAGCCTGACATCAGTCACAGCTGCACTGATAGAGGTTAGCTGTGACTACAACAACCAAGCTCACTCTGTCTTTCCTCATCTGTCTTTTTCTGCAGATTGACAGTCTGCTCGCCTTTACTTGAAACCTCACATTCAGTGAGAAGACATTCATCTTATTAGAGCAGTATGTGGTCGAGTCACACGGCCTGACTTTAGCATCATCTTGAGGATGAACACCGAGCCTTTAGGACGGTCTGACAGCTAGCTTAGCAAGAAGCTGTCCTACATCTGAGTCTCCTGAATCTTCTTTCTTAAAGTCGAGTATCGACAACACACTGCAGTGACCTTAACCGCAGCTTGTGTTGTAATCCCCGATGCTGCCTTTAGAGGTCAGTGTATGTTAACCTCTACAACATAATGTCATAATGTCAGGCTGCACACAGAATTAAATGATATAGAAAATTTGAGAGTAGAACGTGGAGTGAAGAACAGTTCATGTTTGGATGTATTAGTGTGTGAACAGCTGCTCTCTTATCTGAACTCATCAGCTTTGAGGCGACACTGCTCGCTCACTTTGAATACACGAGACGATTTTATTTTCCTGCTGTTCAAGTTTATGTTCACAACTTTTTAAATGTTGTTAAAAAGAAGCCTTAATGTTGCACCGATCTTTAGGAGAAGACAGAAGTCCATTATTATGAAACTAAAATAAATACAAAGACACTGACAAAAGGAAACTCGAGTTTGTGGTACAAAATGTGTAGCCAGCTGATTTGCTTCTAAGCCTCCTATTGGCTAATCACACTAACACTGCCTGAAAGGCTTTATATGTGATGTTTTGATCCAGCAGATGTCGCCCTTGAGCACCAGCATGAAACCAAAACAACTTGCGCTGCATTGTTGTGTTAGCATGCTAATGCTAGCGATCTTTATTATGCTGGTATCTTCACACTGCATGTAAATTTACCTGAAATGAGCGTGATCTAGAAACACAGTTAAGCAGTGAGTACAGTATGTTATTCTTCTTCTCTCTAGTCCTCAATTAAACAACTTTTATACACAAGGGGGAGGAGTCAGTCGGCCGTCCTGGCGATGTAAACAAAGTGAAGATAGGACTCTAAAAACTCTGAAAACATCACAGACAGTGGGACTCGGGACTTGCCCTGAGTTTCCAAAATTAAGAGTGTTCCTGAGTCCGACTTCAAAGATCGAATAGAACACACCAAACACAAACTCCCTCCATCCTCCTTTCAACATGATAAAACAAAATGGTGTTTACTGACAGGTTTGTGTTGGAGCTGTATTCATGTCTGAGAAAATGAAAATGTTCAGGATTTCAGGACTCCTGAAGCAGAGCCTCCTTCTGTCCAATCCAAAGACTAACTGTGTTCTATTTGTTTTTATGTTCTTCTGTCAGCAGTTTAATATCAGACCAGATGATCCACAGCTCCTTCCTGCCTGAGAGCCATCTGTGACACACACACACACACACACACACCACACACACACACACACACACACACACACACACACCACACACACACACACACACCACACACACACACACACAGACACACACACTATTTGTATGGCTGTCTGCTCTGGCTGTGTCACTGTGTCTTGCAGCACAGAAGTAGGTGCTGCTGTCGCTCAGGATCAGATCTGTAACCTTCAGGGTGAAGATGTTTTTGAATATGTTTATGGTCGCCTCGAATCGACCCTGTTTGTTGTTTCGGACCGCTGCGTCCTATATGTGTTTAGCGTAACAGCGTTATAACCGGGTATTACTCCTCTGATCAGAAAGGCCAGTGTAAGCCGTATTAACTTGAATTCGGCTATTGGTTTGTTTCTGTGAATGAAGGGAATTACTCCGAGTTGTGGCGCGGGAGTCGGACTGTGATCCGGCCTCTTCAGGCACGCATTTCTCTTTTATTCTCTTTTATTTCCCCTTCTCCGAACATACACACACACATATTCCTGTATAAACGTACATCTGGAGACTAACTCCACCACCGTGCCTTTACGCACGTAGGCCACACACACAGAGATCTATTCACTCGCAGCCATCCAGACGCCTCAGAGACACAGATCGTGTAGGGCTGAACTCGGGCCTCTTTTAGACAAGGCCACATTTAGGTCTCTGTTAGGTGTGCGCCATCGGAAGGGCGACCACGTGGGACGAAGTAATCTCCCCCCTTTCTTCTTCCCCCTCTCTCTCTCT